GGTTTTTATTATAACTGTCAAAATCCAACTTAAGAAACCCAGAATTAAGCTTTTTCTGTCTGCTTATTAAAGGGCCAATTTTTTTAAAAAGAATAAGAAGTTTACTTGTTCTTTATGTCATTGACCCAAATTGGTTCATGTTTCCCACAACTAAGCCCCCCGTTTTATCCTCTATAGACCACCCACAGTAATCTAATTTTAACATTTTAATCTATAAAGTTATGGGGTTACTATTTTTAATACTTTTTTGGGCAATGGTATTTTTAAAATTATTATAGTCAACCAATCAGTTTTGGTTTCATAAACCCCCTAAATTTTTTTAATAAAATTAACTGATTTTTTGCAAATTTTTAGCAAAAGGCGGGCCCCCCAACAACCCCTTTTAAAGGCCCTACCCCTTTCATATTTCAAAGGTTACTGTAAAATTTAGGATCCCCCCTTTGGGAACCTACTAAAAAGTGACCCTATTTTTGGGGCCCCTTTGGGCCCAAATTTACCTAGGGAAAATTTGCGGGGGAAAAATTATAAACCACTTTTGTGCTTAAAAAATTTAACTTTTTAAAAGGGCATGATGGGGGAAAATGTCCTAAGGTCCGTACCGACAGTGAGAAAGCCAGCATTTCCGGTGCCCCATAAAACGGCGGAATTTTTGGACCCTCATTAAAAGCACAGGCCTACAAACATATATGTTAGCTAGGTTAGGTTTACTGTAGCTGCCCTACTCTGGTCAGAACTACAAGGCTTAGCCTTGAAAAACTTAACGGACTTCCGTCCTAAACACAAACGTTTTGTTTTTAATCGAAACCTCTTATAAATATATCAAAAATAATGTTAAATTAAATAATAAGGTAGGAGTTTTTCCCTAAATAAAAATAAATATCATTGATTCAGTATACTTATTAAACTTTTGGTTTAGGGCTTAGTAACTCATATAATTAAAGCATTAATTTGATTGAAATTTGTTTTACAAGTTTTTGTTGTTTAGTCCATCATTTTATATAGTGACACTTATATAAAGTCTACTAGCCCTGAGAATTTACTCCAGTTATAAATTTGTTGATTAGTTTGGTCCCACATGCCTAAATTATTAGCATTAATTTCCTCATTAGAACACTGACCAACTATTAACAAAGTTGTTATTATCTTTGAATGCACTTTGGGCCTAACAAATTCCTGAAATAATGAGTTAAAAACTGTTTTCTTTAGAAAATGTGATTAAAGTAAGGGTTGAAAAAATAATTTTTCAGAGTGGTTTTAATGTTGCATTTTGCATTTTATTTTAAAAAATGTATAGGCCTAACCCCCTGATATAAAACCTGATGTATGTAATTTGAAAAAAGCAAAACAATTTCTTTCTGTCTTCAAAGTTTTCATTTTTAAAGTTGGGCATAATTTTGAATGTTTGGAGATTAGACAAGGGGTACCAATAATTTTTTTACAATTTCATTGCAATCATTTCGTAATTAAATAATCCAAAACTCTATCTATGTGAACATGATACAGCAGTGTTTACATTACAGAGTTAAACTGCCCTTTAAAATTTAAAGGGCGCCATTTGTTTGCAACTTGTCAGTGTTTATTTTACAGATAAAATGAGTTTTTGGGCATCATTTACAGACTAAGGGAAACAGGAGAAGATAAGGGCAACAAGACAATTTGCACGCGGAAAATTTTCAATATGGGTTGAAACTTTGTTATGCCCCAAGGTATTTTCTTTTTTTAATTTTTTTGTAATTGATAACAAGGCACACCCGGTAATGGCTGGATAAACCTACCGGTTTATATTATTACATGTTTAATGTTCTTCGTTAAAAATAATGATCGTTGATACGCACGTCTTAATGCCTACACATCCCTTGTTTGTTTTAAACCTACCAATTCTTTTTAACAAATTTGCCCACAGACTCTTTCCCAAGTTGAGGAAACAAATTTTGACTGGTAGTTATCAGCTCCAGGAAACCTGTAATATTTAAAAAATTATAACTTATTAAACTGTTTTAAATAGAATAAAATTGTATTTTTTAAATCTTAGTAAAAAAAAAGTAATAAAATTCAAGACAATTGTTTTAAATTGATAAACAGGCAATATTCACATCTGAACAGTTGCTGTTTTAAAAAGTGGATATTACTCCCCTTTAAGCCCAAAAATAAAATCTTTTAAAAGTAAATCTGCCCCTCAAAATTTGGGAAAAATATGCAATTGATATTAAACTTTATAAAACCACTGCCAGACTGGGTCATTTTTGATTTTTAACAACTTTGTTGTACACTTAAAATTATTGGAATGCACGATAAACTTGTTATTTTATAAACTTCCAATTCAGACCTAAAAAAAAAAAAAAAAAAAAAAAAAAAAAAATAAAAAAAAAAAAAAAAAAAAAAAAAAAAAAAAAAAAAAAAAAAAAAAAAAAAAAAAAAAAAAAAAAAAAAAAAAAAAAAAAAAAAAAAAAAAAAAAAAAAAAGAAAGTCAACATACACAGACTGACAAGGAGGGTCTTTTTTTAAGAGTGATAGTTATCAGCATCTACAACTTTTCACACATTTACAATTCGATGATGGGTTATATCTAATCTATGACCAAAGTCTGCAATATTCAAACTTTTGACAATAAGCCTAAACTCTCATTAGTCTCCCTAGAATGCATTTATTTTTCCTCAAAGAACAATAAAACAAGTTCAAACCTTTTTAAGTCTTACAATATATGATACGGGAACTATCAAAACTTTAAAAAATTTATATATGGCCTTTATGGTATGATAGTATCTTTCTGATTTAATTCATATCGCTTAAACATGGATTACCAGCTAGTTATATAATTATCTGACTCATCATTGCTTGAAATAATTAAACGGAAAATCAAAATTTGAAGGTAATTTCTTTATTTCAGGGTAATAGAGAATATAGAAAAAGTATGCACCAAAAATTTCAAATAAAGAGGTTTTCTGTTATGGAAAGGTATTATTTAAATTTTATTGTGGTAATATAACATCAATCTAGAGGTCCGTTTACCAAAGTTGTTCAAATTTATATCCCTACTTCTTCTAAGTGTTCAAAATTTGACCCCAACCCCCGGTTATTCATTGGGTTTCCCTATAGGTTAATCAAAAATCCTTTTTTCACTGGAAAACCCCAAAGGTTATCATGCGGGCTTTTCCTAATTATATATACAGTAGAAGTCTCAAGGGTTTTAGAGCTTTAGATATTTGGCATGAAGCCATCTAATGGATCTCTAACAAAGAATTTTGTTCAAATTATTGAAACCTAGGATCAAAATTTAAGCTCTGTCCTGGGTGTCCATGGATTTTTGTAAAATATAGAATATAGTAAGTCCAGCCAGTGAATTTTTAATATGGATTTAGAGGAATGAAGTGGAGGGTGGGGCATATTTTGTCCTTTCCCTGTTTTTTCTGCTTATACCAACTTTCAATTTATGGTTTCAGACGGCATTCATACTTGGACACAGGAAGATTGAAAGACTTTTTTTTTAACATTATTTGGAAATAAATGGGTCTTGGGGCCCCTCAATGGCCTTTTGGACATTGTTTGTATTTTTTATAATTTTTAATATAAATTGGGAAGAGGTAGGGAGTTTGGAAATAGTGATTTTTATAAATACAACCCTTGTTGGATTACAAATCAACCCTATTAGACTTTTGATGAATTTGAATCTATGTCTTTTTTTTTAATTATTTGGTTTAAATGATTCTTAATATTCTTATTTCGTGGCCCAGATTGTTTAGCCAATAATTACAGAGAATGTTTATGGGTGAGTTTGAAATACATTAATACGATCTTATTAAAATCAAGCTTCCAAAAATAACTGCTATGCTCTAAACATCAGAAGATCTGAATTTTAGTCAAATTGAAATAGATATTGATACTTTTTCTCTTTCTATAGAAAACTGAAAGTTATTTTTGTTATATTACTGCACCTGCCTGTTTCTATATGTATTAATGATAGTCTTTTCAGCTCTTTTTTGGAAATGGCACCCTGGCTTTAAATTGATTGAAATTATGCAGCATATAATTTTTTTTATTGAGGACTTTGAGAAATTATTAAAAAAAAAGAAAAAGCTTTTATGATACAAGTCAAATAATACAATTTTTCTCAGTTGTTAGTCCCAGGCCCACTGACTTCTAAGGAAAACCATTTATTTTGTATAGCAAACCATTGATATTAGGGTCATCATTGACCTCTTGTTATTATTTGTAACACAACCAAATGTACTTTTTTTTATATAGTATTGTGTATTTGGGCGGATGGCCTAAGAGTTACGTTATGTTAACTTGTAAACAATAAACTTGTTAACTGTAACAATTGGTTTAGAAGATTATGCCATGATAGTTTATTTGTTCTCACTTTAATTGTATCACACTGTACTTTCATAAGGTATTTATATTATACCCTGCATGCTTATTTAATGAAAGTTGAAAATCTTGTTCAGAATATTTTATGTAAAAGTTTTTTCCCTCAGTAAAAACATAATGATACTTTGACAAGGTATGGTATAGATGTGGAAAACTGTTTGATGTACAAGATATCCGATCAGAACAACTGTAGCAAACTGGAAGATGCTCTCATCTACAAGTTCTACCATTGTAACATTGTTTTCTTTTTATAGTCCCTAAAATTGTATATTGTTATGCACCTTGTCATCTGTTCTTGTTATAGCAATTTCATGTCCACCTTTGAAGTGAATGAAGAATATTGAAACTTCTTGGCAGAAATATTAACCATGTGTGAACTGTACAAATCCATCATTGCCTTCTTTAATGGTTCATGCAATTAACAAATGAATGTTAATGCTGTAAGATTTTAGTTATAGACAAGATTTATTGTTTATCTTTATTATTTTCTTGTTAAGTTTAATTGTTTCATAGTTCATGGTAGGATTTCTGAAGTAACTGTTAAGAAAAAAACTTCCCTTTTCTAAGGATTAAATAATAACTTTAATCAAACGAAATATTCTGTCATTAAGTTTATTTTAAATCAGATATTCCTGGCTGATTATTTTACAGGAGGAGTTTCCAACAATAGGTAAAGCATGTCTTATGGCATTGAAAACACGACCAGTAGGTGTGAGCCTTGTGCAATATGATCTGAATACAGGGGAGCTAATTAAAGAAATATTTCTATCATGTCGCATCAAATTCAGGTAAGAAATTTTAAGCTCCACTTTTCGAAGAAAAAATTCAAGTTATTGCTACAGTCAGGTTGCCAATGCCATCCAGAAACTTTAATATTGGTCATATATTTTTTATTTCTTCAATAGATTGTTTTCAAATTGAACGCAACAACCCTTTGGACAAGACCTTCCGGTAGGCCAGCCTGAGCATGACCTTGACTCATAAATGACCTTGACCTGCCAGGTCAAATTTTCAATTTTGCTTGATTTTTGCTTAAATTGACTTTAACTTTGTTATTTATGAATGGATTGTCTTCATACTTGACCATCTGCCTTAAGGACAATGATTTTTAGGAAAATCAAACACAAAATGACCTTGAATCATCGATGACCTTCAACCATGAAGGTCAAATTATTGTTATTTTAGTTTTTTGCTATAAATGGCAGTAACTTTGTAAGTAATGAATGGATTGTCAATGTCAAATTATCGAATTTTTGAAAATTTCATGTATGTTTATGTGTTGATATTCTGACTTAAGATCAAATTTAAACATTAAATTCCCTACATGACAATTATATAATGGAAGTTTGTCATAAAGGTTGCTTCTATAGTTCCTAGGTCAAATTCAGGAAGGTTGATTTCTAGCTCAATGTTGAATGTGGGTCAGAGCCTAAATATGGAAAATAGAAGAGAATTAATTGAAACTTCACATACTTACTTAGTTGAAGTCACTGTCCACGGTACATAACATCAACATGGATTTTGACAGAATTCTGGCCGTTTTTGAACTTAGAAAATTCTACAACATGCAGGCTTTGTTTTTACTATCACACACTGAGAATAGTCGAGCATGCTGTCCGATCAATAGCTCATAATTATGGTATGTAGCATTGTCTGGTAGGCCTCAACAAAAATTATATAAATCATACTTTTAGTTTAAAAAAGAAACTGTAAAACCAACAATATCCAAAATTTGCTTGTGTTAAGGTTGATGAACCCACATTTATCTGCTCTCTATTTTCAGATATTTAGACTGGGCAGAGGTGAACAAAATGTTCTATATCAAATCTATACGTACTGTAGAAACAAGAGTGCATTTACCTGTAAGTATAAACAAGTTTCCTCTAAATGTAAGATGATTAAACTTTTAACATATCACACTGAGTTAATAAACAAGCTTAATGAAAACTTATGTAACATTTCCATAGGCTTCTGTACTTTATTGCTGTATTGTAAATTGTACCATGACTGTGTTAATATTATACCATGACTGTGTTTATATTATACCATGACTGTGTTTATATTATACCATGATTGTGTTTAAATTATACCATGACTTTGTTTATACTGTTCCATGACTGTGTTTAAATTATACCATGACTGTGTTTATATTATACCATGACTATGTTTATATTATACCATGACTGTGTTTACATTATACATGACTGTGTAATTATTGTACCATGACTGTGTTTATATTAAAACCATGACTGTGTTTATATTATACCATGACTGTGTTTATATTATACCATGACTATGTTTATATTATATCATGATTGTGTTTAAATTATACCATGATTGTGTTTATAATTATACCATGACTGTGTTTATATTATACCATGACTGTGTTTATAATTATACCATGACTGTGTTTATAATTATACCATGACTGTGTTTATAATTATACCCTGACTGTGTTTATATTATACCATGATTGTGTTTATATTATACCATGACTGTGTTTATATTATACCAGGACTATGTTTATATTATACAATGACTGTGTTTATATTATACCCCGACTGTGTTTAAATTATACCATGACTGTGTTTATATTATACCATGACTATGTTTATATTATACAATGACTGTGTTTATATTATACCCCGACTGTGTTTATAATTATACCATGACTGTGTTTATATTATACCATGACTGTGTTTATATAATACCATGACTGTGTTTATATTATACCATGACTGTGTTTATATTATACCATGACTGTGTTTATAATTATACCATGACTGTGTTTATATTATACCATGACTATGTTTATATTATACCATGACTGTGTTTATAATTATACCATGACTGTGTTTACATTATACCATGACTGTGTTTACATTATACCATGACTGTGTTTACATTATACCATGACTGTGTTTATATTATACAATGACTATGTTTATATTATACCAGGACTATGTTTATATTATACAATGACTGTGTTTATATTATACCCCGACTGTGTTTAAATTATACCATGACTGTGTTTATATTATACCATGACTGTGTTTATATTATACCATGACTGTGTTTATATTATACCATGACTGTGTTTATATTGTACCATGACTATGTTTATATAATACCATGACTGTGTTTATATTATACCATGACTGTGTTTATATTATACCATGACTGTGTTTATAATTATACCATGACTGTGTTTATATTATACCATGACTATGTTTATATTATACCATGACTGTGTTTACATTATACCATGACTGTGTTTACATTATACCATGACTGTGTTTATATTATACAATGACTATGTTTATATTATACCATGACTGTGTTTACATTATACCATGACTGTGTTTATATTATACAATGACTATGTTTATATTATACCATGACTGTGTTTATATTATACCATGACTGTGTTTACATTATACCATGACTGTGTTTATATTATACAATGACTATGTTTATATTATACCATGACTGTGTTTACATTATACCATGACTATGTTTATATTATACAATGACTATGTTTATATTATACCATGACTGTGTTTATATTATACCCCGACTGTGTTTACATTATACCATGACTGTGTTTACATTATACCATGACTGTGTTTACATTATACCATGACTATGTTTATATTATACCATGACTGTGTTTATATTATACCATGACTATGTTTATATTATACCATGACTGTGTTTATATTATACCATGACTGTGTTTATATTGTACCATGACTGTGTTTATATTATACCATGACTGTGTTTAAATTATGCTCTGACTGTGTTTAAATTATACCATGACTGTGTTTATATTATACCATGACTGTGTTTAAATTATACCATGACTGTGTTTATATTATACCATGACTGTGTTTACATTATACCATGACTGTGTTTAAATTATACCATGACTGTGTTTACATTATACCATGACTGTGTTTATATTATACAATGACTAATGTTTATATTATACCCCGACTGTGTTTATATTATACCATGACTGTGTTTACATTATACCATGACTGTGTTTACATTATACCATGACTGTGTTTACATTATACCATGACTGTGTTTACATTATACCATGACTGTGTTTAAATTATACCATGACTGTGTTTATATTATACCATGACTGTGTTTATATTATACCATGACTGTGTTTATATTATACCATGACTGTGTTTATATTATACCATGACTGTGTTTATATTGTACCATGGCTGTGTTTAAATTATACCATGACTGTGTTTAAATTATACCATGACTGTGTTTAAATTATATGGTGACTGTGTTTAAATTATACGGTGACTGTGTTAAAATTATGCCCTGACTGTGTTTAAATTATGCCCTGACTGTGTTTAAATTATACCATGACTGTGTTTAAATTATACCATGACTGTGTTTAAATTTTGCCCTGACTGTGTTTAAGTTATACTATGACTTTGTTTAAAATATGTCCTGACTGTGTCAACATTTTGCCCTGACTATGTTTAAATTATGCCCTGACTGTGTTTAAATTATACCATGACTGTGTTTAAATTATACTATGACTGTGTTTAAATTATGTCCTGACTGTGTCAACATTTTGCCCTGACTATGTTTAAATTATGCCCTGACTGTGTTTAAATTATACCATGACTGTGTTTAAATTATACCATGACTTTGTTTAAATTATACCATGACTGTGTTTAAATTATATGGTGACTGTGTTTAAATTATGCCCTGACTGTGTTTAAATTATGCCCTGACTGTGTTTAAATTATACTATGACTGTTTAAATTATGTCCTGACTGTGTCAACATTATACCATGACTGTGTTTAAATAATACCATGACTGTGTTTATATTATACCCTGACTGTGTTTAAATTATACTACGCTGTGTTCAAATTTTGTCCTGACTGTGTTTAAATTATATCATGACTGTGTTTATATTATACAATGACTGTGTTTAAATTATACCATGACTATGTTTATATTATACCCTGACTGTGTTTATATTGTACCATGGCTGTGTTTAAATTATACCATGACTGTGTTTATATTATATCATGACTGTGTTTAAATTATACCATGATTGTATTTATATTGTACCATGATTGTGTTTATTTTATTCCATGACTGTGTCAACATTATACCATGACTATGTTTACACTGAACTTGTGTTTCAAGTTAATTTGATATATTATAGGAAAGGATATCAAGCAATGTTGCAGTTGTGATGGCAGCTTTCTCAACATTTCCATTAAAATTTGTGGGAATGTTTGAAGTTGATAGAAGAGTAAGTTTTGGACATAAATTATAAACTACTGAAAGCATACATGCACTAATAATCCAGCCCCTTCCAAGTAACAATCATCTGCAATAATTGAGAAAATATCAATTTAAAATATCAATTGTTTAGTGGAGGAAGGTGTCAAAAACTGAAAGTAACAACAGGCCAGCTTAAATTAAATCTGCCTCCAGGCATTCACTTACTCCATTTATTGCTGGAACACTGAAAATTATTGCTAAATATGAGGTAACCAAGTCTTCAGAAACATGCTAACGTTTCAGCTATTTATACCAAAAGAAATTTCAAATTGCCAATACTTTACATAGCCCTTTGTTATTTTGTGACTTATTGAATTCATAGACCTTAATAACTTTACAACTGCTGATTATTATTGACATTTTGTCTTGTTTGAGTAGACATAATATAAAATCCTGCAAGTTGTAAATATTGGTAACCTAGGTTATATTCCACTATGTGAACTTTTGAAACAATTTGCTTGCTGATCTCAATGACCCCCATGAAAAGTGCCCCAGTATAGAGTCTAGAAATTATGGCATGTATGTTAAAAGTAGAGGAAACATGTTACTTTTAATGTTATTAAATCATCTTCAAATCCATTGTACATGAAACTTAGTAAGTTTCATCTCAAAATATTTATGATACATTAATCTAGTTAACATGATTGACCATATTTTGTAAAAACTGGGCCACGATGTCAAATCAAAAGAAAACATTCTATATTTACTAAAACAAGGTTGAAATGACAACCCTGATAAAATATCATTTTTGAGTTCACAGTGGGGACATTTATTTTCTACGACAAAAGTGTAAATTGTGAAAATATTGTTTATTTTTGAGGTACTTTCTTAGGTCATAATTTCAATTTAGGTCATCAAAGGTCAGAAACAAGGTAAATTATGTGCAAGTTGGATACTGACAGCAATTTCAGATTTTCTGTATTAATAACAGCTTATAGCTTGATGGTATTAGATCAATATAATAAATACTTTCATGATTATTTCAGATATTTGGAGCAGGTGTAACAAATGCTATTCTCACTCACGGCATGTTGATTATCATGTATGTAAATGGTCTGGTGAAATTCTTCAGTTTTGACAGAATTCTTGAAAAGGTATGAATAGCCATTCTTACATGTATAATACATTTGTATATATATAAAAATGTATATTTATATCTGAACACTTTGTTAGATCTATAATTTAGAACTATAATTTGGTACAGGTACAATGCTACTATTTATTGACCTGAGCATCGTCGGATACCCATGGTTGATTAACATGAAATCAAGCTGTGGGTAAAATGAAATGATTTGCATCATATACAACAACAGGTATGCAAGATATCGACCAATGAAATCATGTTAAACAAAATTTATATTCTACAACAGCTAAGGTAAAAACTATCAGTGACTGTAAATTTTCTATGTTTTTTTGCTGGAAATCGTTAATTTAATTGCTTGCCGCAATATTGTCTTTAATACTAAATGTTGTATATAACAAGTGTTTTGATTGGTTTTAATCGCCTCATGAAATCGTGAGGCACCCAATGAAATAGCTGTCTTTGACACACTTCTAATTAAATGGATATCGGCCAAGAATCCACTGCTGATAAATGTAAATGGTTTGGCTGTGGGTATCTGACGATGTGACCTGAGTAACATCAAGATGGTTTTTTGGCCGGGTTGCACTGGTGCAAACCCGGGTTATAGTATGGTGAATGTTGGGCGGCGGGCGGGCGGGGAAAAACTTTCGTAACAGTTTTCTCAGCAACTACTTATCACAGCCTTTTGATATTTGGTATACAGCATCAACACATGGTCCCATACTGTGGGATTCGATTTCAGGTCTGTCGCTCATCTACTTCCTGTTTGCTGACTTAGTAAAATTTTCTACATTAATGGTCAATAGTAGGAAATTTTCCTAACAGTTTTCTCAGCAACTGCTAATCATAGCCTTTTGATATTTAGTGTGCAGCATTAACACATGGTCCCATACTGTGGTTTTCGATTTCAGGTCTGTCGCTCATCCACTTCCTGTTTGCCGACTTAGTTAAATTTTTAACATTAATGGTCAATAGTAAGACATTTTAGTAACAGTTTTCTCAGCAACTACTTATCACAGCCTTTTGATATTTGGTATACAGCATCAACACATGGTCTCATATCGTGGGATTCGATTTCAGGTCTGTCGCTCTTCCACTTTCAATTTGACTTAGTTAAATTTTCTACATTAATGGTCAATAGTAGGAAATTTTCCTAACAGTTTTCTCAGCAACTACTTATCACAGCCTTTTGATATTTGGTATACAGCATCGGCACATGGTATCATATCGAGGGATTCGATTTCAGGTCTGTCGCTCATCCACTTCCTATTTGCCGATTTAGTTAAATTTTGACATAATTAATGATCAATAGATAGTAGGAAATTTTCTTAACAGTTTTCTCAACAACTTCTTACCACAGCCTCTTGATATGTGGTTCAAAGCATTGACATGACTGTGGTCCCATATTGTGGGATTCTATTTCAGGTCTGATGCTCATTCTTTTCAGGTTTACCAACTAAGTTAAATTTTCAACATCAATGGTCAGACAGTGGTAGAAAATTTAAGTAACATCACAGCCTCATGATATTTTGTACACATATGCAACCCGGCCTTTTCTGTCTTTGACCCATTTTAATTTATATAAACATGTACATTATAGGAAAAATACATGTATTAAAGTATCACAGACCATGCTGAATTCCACAACAAAACTTTATATAAGTTTTCATAATTTTTTCCTCTCATTTTTCCTCTAAAAAATATGAATAATAAACTTGTCTGCTGCTCCTCATCTGATCTAAGTCGTCAGTTTTGTGTTCAATAATTGGTTGATGTACAAGAGTGTATCTTGAATAAAAGAATTGCTATAGGGTCATTATTAAAACTTATTGACTGACTTCATACCTTATTTTGAATGTTTTAGTTTAAGAACTTTGAACATTCCCTCGATGCCTTCACTTCTACAGGAAACATAGACTGGGCAGAATTACCAGCAGATCTTCCTATTAATATAAAGATAACAGGTACAGTTGTTCTAAATAGAGGATATTAAATGAGTGTAGTTTAATACTAAATTTATGGAACTAGTTGAATAAAATCATATTATGCGAGCCTCTGGCTGAATCTACACGAATATAATATTCTTTTTATCACATGTGTAAAATAAGAACAGTAAACTGTTAAAATGAGTAATTTTTCAATGATGCGCCTATAGTGTAACGCTAACTTTAGCCCGCTTTAATGCTATGTTTCTATATAGCGCAAATGACATCACGTCAAAGTGTTATTACATTAGTGTAATATCGGTTTTTATTAAATGGCTTTATTACACTCCTGCGCCGCGGTTTATGTTCTAATATCTCTTCTCTCTACCTTAGCTACAAGACAAGTTTAAGAATTGTTGACACTGTTCTACCATTCACTGTAGTTGTTAACTGTTTTCTTAAGTTTTCAGATTTTTTTATTGTACTTCATTTTTATGTCATCTCTACAGTGTAGTGGCTACATATAGGAATCACTTCTTCGTCGTCTGTCTGTCTGTCTGTACAAACATATAGATACTTAGGGGGCTATGGGAGCAATAGGTTATATAATTTCCTTTGATGCTCGCTCAGTTAGCTCTTATGTGGCTCCTTTTCTCTTACGTGGCTAAAAGAACAAAAGAGAGAACAAAGGAGTAGCCACTTAAATACCAAACTTTGAGGAAATCCATCCATCTGTCCGTCCAGCACAAAACTTGTCCGGACTACTCATAGGGATCACTTCTCTGTTGTCTGTCTGTCCGTCCATAACAAAACTTGTCCGGCTTTCTCCTTAAAAAGTACTGGTATAATTTCTTCCAAACTTTACAGGAATGATCAATACCAAGCTTAGTTGTGCCTATCATGGGCTTTTTATGGTCTGATGATTTTTGTCACTGTTATGGCCCTTTAATTTAATTTTTATTTTTAAAGTTTGTTCGATATATATATAAGATATACATCATGTTTATGAATGCTGTTGTATATTCTTAATGTGTAATACCTTCTCTAAATTAAGATATTATTATTATAATCATTACTTAGAGTTACAAAAATGAATTATCACTGTTTGTAGAGATTCCACCATTGTTGTTTGAAGTGAGCTGCTGTGATCAAGATGTAAAGATTGGAGGTTTTCCCTGGCATTACATCTACTCTCCAAAACGTGCGGCAAACATATTTCAAATTAAATCTTTAAAGGATAGTATTCAGGTAAATCAGTAAAATTTTCATATCTGAGGAAAATTTTAATGTAGATTACAAAAAAGTTATGTTGAATTTTAATCTTGATGATTTCTGCCTGAAATATGACCTACATTAGACTCACTGTCATTGTGTGTGTAGTATACATGACCTACTTTTGACTCACTTGTTTGTTGTTTGTATAGTAAACATAATTTATATTGATGTTAGGTTGAAGGAGGAGCATTAAAATGTGTTGACATACATGCTGAACCTGACTCTTGCTCATTCCATAACGATGATTCTGGTAGAATAATTCATGTGTCCGGTGGCTGCCTGAAGTAAGTATCATAACGATGATTCTGGTAGAATAATTCAAGTGTCCGGTGCCTGCCTGAAGTAAGTATCATAACGATGATTCTGGTAGAATAATTCATGTGTCCGGTGGCTGCCTGAAGTAAGTATCATAACGATGATTCTGGTAGAATAATTCATGTGTCCGGTGCCTGCCTGAAGTAAGTATCATAACGATGATTCTGGTAGAATAATTCATGTGTCCGGTGCCTGCCTGAAGTAAGTATCATAACGATGATTCTGGTAGAATAATTCATGTGTCCGGTGCCTGCCTGAAGTAAGTATCATAACGATGATTCTGGTAGAATAATTCATGTGTCTGGTGCCTGCCTGAAGTAAGTATCATAGATAAAGCTTTAACAAAAGTTGAATAAAACTCTTAGATTTATGGCAACTTGGTTAATTACAGGTGTTCATTACAGGTGACAGTTATATACAACAAGATTTGAATTTTTTAATACAGTTTTACTTTAACTATATTGTCAGTTAAAAATATCTCTTATAATTGTTGTTAAATATGCTTTGGATAATTGGTTGTGCCCTGTATGATCATGTTGTCTCTTTTCTACTTTTTTTTCTTAGATAATGTGAGTTTGTTATATTATAACACTTAATGTTATATTATTCAGTTATTTGTAGAGTGCCCTTGACTTAGTAAAGATTTGCAATTTTCAACTGATGTCGCACATAGCCCATAAAGGATTTGACCTAGAGTCATGAAACTTTACAGAAATTTTGGTCAGCATGTGTAGTTGTGCACCTGAGGGTAACTTGTGTTTGTACAGTTATTGCTCTTTACTTAGTAAAAGATTTGCAAGTTACCTAGAGTCATAAAACGTTACAGGACTGTTGGTCAGCATGGGTTTTGCTTGTTTTTTGTCCCCCGCCTTTTCGAAGAAAAAAGGGGGATATAGAAATAGGCTCTGTCCGTCCGTCCGTCTTTCTGTCCGTCTCACTTTCGTTTCCGGTCCATAACTTTGTCATTTATCAAAGGAATTTGAAATAACTTGGCACAAATGTTTGTTATAATAAGACGATGTGTCATGCGCAACAACCAGACCCCTACCTCCAGGTTCAAAGTCACACTTGCTCATTCAAAGTCAACATTGTCTATTTGAGGGTATATGTCGTGTCCGGTCTATAACTTTCTTATCTATGAAGGGATTTTGTAAGTACTTGCCACAATTGTTTATAATAATCTGACATATTGTCTTATTATGTGCTAGGTCCATAACCTTTTCATAAATCAAAGGATTTTGAAAATACTTGGCACAAATAGTCACTATAATAAGAGGATGTGTCATGCCCAACACCTGCATCCCTACCTCCAAGGTCAAGGTCACACTTAGAGGTCAAAAATGAACATAGTCTGTTATAGGGTATATTTTATGTCTGATCTAGAACTTATTCATAGTTCAATGGATTTTGAAATACAATGTAACTTGGCACAAATAGCTACAATAATAAGATGATATGTCATGCACAACACCTGCACCCCTACCTCCAAGGTCAAGGTCACACTTAGAGGTCAAAGGTTAACAGAGTCTGTTATATGGTATATTTTGTGTCCCGTCTATAACTTCTTCATAGATTAAGGAATTTTGAAATGCTAGGCACAAATAGTCACAATGATAAGATGATATGTCATGCGTAACATCTGTGTCCCTACCTCCAAGGTCAAGGTCACACTTAGAGGTCAAAGATTTACATAGTCTGTTATAGGGTTTATTTTGTGTCCAGTCCATAACTTTTTCATAGATCAAGAGATTTTAAAAATACTTGGCACAAATAGCTACAATAATAAGATGATATGTCATGCACATAATAAGACAATATGTTAGGCGCAAACCATGGGTCCCTACCTCCAAGGTCACACTTAGAGGTCAAAGATTAACATAGTCTGTTATAGGGTATATTTTGTGTCCGATCTATAACTCGTTCATAGTTCAAGGGATTTTGAAAATACTTGGCACAAATAGCTACAATAATAAGATGATATGTCATGCACAACACCTGCACCCCTACCTCCAAGGTCAAGGACACTTAGAGGTCAAAGCTTGATATAATAGATTTTTAAATTCTGTGTATCATTTTATTTTTTTAATAAATTTATTGTTGCATTTGCAGATCTAGCATTGATCATAATTTTTGACTGAAAGTCCTGAGATCCATACCTCAATCTTTTGAAATAGCACAATTTTATGCTTCATATAAAACTTCCCCGAGGCGGGGGACGTTGGTAACTCTGTTACAAATTCTTGTTGTGTGTTTTTTTAAGCATATTTTATGATATAAAATTGAGATTTGAAATTTTCAATATTGAAAAAATCAAGATGTCAACTTTGGAAAAATTGATATCATTTTTATGCCCCAACCACTATTGGGTAAGAATAGTCATATAAAATTTACTTTGTCCTTCTGGCATCCATGTCCTATGAACACATTTCTAGTTTTGTTATAATTAGATATTTATGATGATTTAGTTCTTACAATGTCGGGGTACAAGGTGGTAGAAACTATATTATAACATAACTTTTACAAGATTTCCTGACATAATTAGGAGTAGAGATAAATGTCCATCTCATTGTTATAATGACATTACTCATTGGGTTATTATCAAATTTTATGTTTCTTTCTGTTGCAGTGTGTTTAAGTTACATAGTGAAAAAATGTGTAGGTCTGTAGAGTTACAGACTGTGGCAACTGTAAATGTCCACAAGCCACAACAAAAGGTACATAATTCTATGTTTACATACAGTACTGTATTGTAAATACCATAAGATCATTTGTTGTCAAAATACTGTGATTATTCTGATAAGCAAATCTGTTATTTTATGTTAAGTTATATAGAAGAAGATTCTATGAAATAACAGACAAAATTAATTGTCTATATCTACTATTATCACATAAACAGCTTCACTGGAGTGTAATAAAGCCATTTAATAAAAACAATATCACACTAGTGTAATAACTCTTTGACGTAACATTACCATTTTGAATTGCTGCAAGGTAGGTTTCCAAGACATTTATAAAACAAGAATCTCATTTGCAATCCCTCACAACAACAGAATTTTACATTAGTTATTTTTTTTGTTCACTAATTAACATTTAGTAGTTAATTAATAAAATTGTCAATAATTATTTTGTTCACTAAGAACTTAACTTTTTATGCCCCCAAAGGGTGGCATATTAAAATCAAATTGTCCGTCTGTCTGTCTGTCAGTCCGTCACTCCGTCCAGCTTTATACATACAGACAGTGATGGTTGTGTACACTCTGAAACTTTAGTATGCATGGAAGGATTTTAAGTTTTCATTCATATATGAAATAACCATAGATGTATGGTGTGTCGCCAACAAGACTCGGGTTTCTACCACTAAGGTCAAGGTCACTGTGGGGGTTCAAACTTTGTCATTTTTTATGTTATATAAATATAGAAGGTGGTGGTCGTGTCCGCTCTGAAACTTCAGTATGCATGGAAGGATTGTAATTTTTCTTTCACATATGAAATAACCATAGATGTATGGTGTGTCGCAAACAAGACTCGGGTTTCTACCACTAAGGTCAAGGTCACTGTGGGGGTTCAAACTTTGTCATTTTTATGTTATATAAATATAGAAGGTGGTGGTCGTGTCCGCTCTGAAACTTCAGTATGCATAGAAGGATTGTAATTTTTCTTTCACATATGAAATAACCATAATTGTATAGTGTGTCGTGAACAAGACTCGGGTTTCTACCACTAAGGTCAAGGTCACTGTTGAGGTTCAAACTTTGTCATTTTTTGTATTATATAAATATAAATGGTGGTGGTCGTGACCGCTCTGAAACTTTAGTATGCATGAAAGGATTTTAATTTTCTTTTACATATGAATTTACCATAGATGTGTGGTGTGTCGCGAACAAGACTGGGTTTTCTACGACTAAGGTCAAGGTCACTGGGGGGGTTCAACTTTTGTCATTTTTTTGTTATATAATTATAGAAGGTGGTGGTAATGTCTGCTCTGAAACTTCAACATGAATGAAAGTATTTTAATTTTTTTTCATATATGAAATAACCATAGATGTATGGTGTGTGGCGAACTAGACTCTGATTTCTACGACTAAGGTCAATATTAGTTTGGGCGTTCAAACTTTGTCATTTTTTATGTTATGTAAATATAGATGGTGGTGGTCGTGTCCTCTCAAAAACTTAAGTATGAAAGGATTATATAGAATATATATATTTGAAGGTAAGAGTATATATGACATATATTTTTTAGGTTAGAGTATATATGACATCATCAGGAAGGAGAGTAAAAAGAAGACAGTCTGATAATGAGGTCTCATTTCATGATGATGATGATGTAAGTACCATATATACATCAGAATATCTTTATATAAAACTATTCCATGTGATAGATTTTGCTTCAAATAGTATATACATTATGCCAAATGTAACATGTCTGTTCATGTTATACTAGTTAGTGATGTTCCGATTGTCACATGTCGTCGATAATCAGTTACTGTTATGTAAAGCGACAATAATCGATTCACAAAAATTTGTTCCGCGACGTCGTCGAAAATGTTTAAAGTATCAAAGGGAATTAATTCTGACGGTAATTTCCTTTTAGGAACACCTTACCGATCGCAAAGAAAATATCTCAGAGACAATTTGGAGTTGAACAGGACCAATACGTGATGTAAACAATAGTTATACAATGTGATGTCAATGTTATTATTTGACATCCATTGGAAAATAAAAGCTTTTTCGTAAAATTATGACTATATAAGTTTAAAACTGTGTTGAAAAGAGCTATATGAAGTTCACGTAACTGAATATAATAAAGTGCCTTGAGAAGAATTGTTTCTTCCCTATTTCTTTTTAACGCGACTTTATTCGAAAAGTTATCGATTATGTCCCATCCGATTGAACCGATGATCGATTGGGACAAATACCATCCGATTTCCATCACTAATACTAGTATTGCTAAAATTTTACATGTAATGTAATTTTAATGGATACAGAGGCTATTCAACCCTTGTAATGAAATTTGAAGCTACTGGTTTAAGCTGTTATTTCACAATGGTTCAGGATATTTCTTTATGAAATGCAACAATTTTTTGGACATATCTGTAACTTTTTCCTTGCATGGAAGAGTTACTTAAAGTGTTCCCCAAGGATCTAGCTTAGAGTTATTATTTTTGATATATGTGTGTTGTATTTAGGCTGTTGTTAAATATAAGATCCTGCTATAAACAGATAATTTGCCATTCTGATTGCAGGGAAGAGTAGGTGTTTTATTGAAAAAGAAATGATAGATGAACTTCAATCAGTCATTCTAGGATTAACTGACAATAAGTTATCTCTTCATTTAGATAAAATGGAGATATGTTATTTAAATCAAAATCAAGGGTCAGGTGCATCTGTTAATGTCATTTTATAACTGAATTTTAATATGACTGAACTGAAAAGATAATCATAACATTTCATATACAAGGGACTGTGTAAGTAGCTTTGATGTCTGGTCAATTTTCACTTTTATAGATATTCAGTATAGAAACAAGATATATAAGATAGTATATAATAAACATTGTTGTTACAACTTGTAGGTAATTCATGGTGTAGAATATGAAGATGAACTAGATATATCCTGGATCTCAGTGTTTAGTGTATCACAAGCTTCAAGGGTCATCTTTTATGATAATCAGTCATTTCAAATGCTAAAAGAGGTTTTCTTAGAGAGCAGCCTAACAGAAGGACATCAGGTATTTTTTTTTAACAGAATGTAAAATGAGGTAGTGGTATTAATTTGGATTTCTTATGTGTATGAGGTGCTGCATGCAAGCATACTAGGCTTAATTTCATAATAGTATTTTGACATCCTTCACTGCTGCTTTTGTTTACTCAAGGCTTTGATAAACTTGATAAAACAAGTTTTTTTACCAGCTGGCACCAATATTCATAGTTTAGCTAATTTCATTTCACTTGTGGTTAGATATATATATTGTGATTGTGGTGTATGAGTAACTCTGATTGTAAATAAATTTTGGTTATGCTCATATCCCCTTGTTCTTCCTAAATGATAAATTGAGCAGGGGGTAGAACTATAATTTGAATCAGTAAGTTTGTTTTCTGTTTCAGGTATATGAACATCATGTACATGTAGACTTGGATACTATTGTAGAGATTTATAAACCTATGCCAGGACAGTTTAGATGCAATATGTATAGACTCAGTGGAGATATAAATCAAGAAATATCTGCCGACAGCGGATTATAAATATGACAATATTCATGTACTTCAAGAAACAAAAACTTGATAAAGTGCTGTGTGTTTTCTTGTGAAGCATTGATACAATAATTGACATTGATCTCCTAGTATTATTTTACATAATTAAAATGTTAGGGTATTTCATATTAACATTTGGATATAGATTGTGCAGGCACTTTTGTATACTCATTTTTTTGATAAACAAATTAACAACACAATTTTCTTGTATTTTATTGTGAAGAATAAAGGAATACTGAATATAGTCTTTCACTTTCAGTATATCTTATTTATACTTATTACAGGCTGTCAACCAGGTCTTATCCAAAATAAAGGAGGAATATAGGAATATTTTAGCAGGAAATATAGGAGTTTTTGGACCATTTTGAGGCAAAAAATAGGAGTTTTCAATTTAAATTGTTTAACTTACCAATGCTTATATAAATGTAGATTATTCTTACTTTTACACATGCTGTTTCTACAATTAAACGTCTAATGTATAAGTGAAGGACACCATTAGCAGGCTGTCCAGCATCTTCCGACATAAAATAAGGGCGAATTTTAGGGTAATATTTCAGAAATTTTAGGGCTAAAATTAGGAATGTTAGGGTACATAATAGAAATTTTAGGGCTAAAATTTGCAATTTTATAACTAAATGAACTAAGGTCCCAAAAGACCATGATGAGGGCTAATCTTTGCATATTTGACACAAAAGTAACTCACAAATAATGCTCTAGTTTAGTTAGAGCAAAGGTGCTACCAGTGTGGACTCACTGGTCAACTGCCTCCCCTGCGGAAATGGTCAAATCATGTTCAAACCATATTTTTTAAACTGGCTGAACATGTCAAAAAGAACATGACTGTTCTACCTATGTTTTCGGAATGTTATAACCACAAGTGTCTAAAAGGAATTCTTATACAGTGAAATTCTTGCACAATGCAGCTTTTGAATATGGACAAATGAAATTTTTTGTACAAGAAGGAAGTAAAAAGGCATTTGCCTTAGTACAGTCATTTGAATAAATGGGACGCATCTATAATCAACACAAAGAATTGCACATCAAAAAAGTTCATCACACAGACCATTCAACTGCAGTTTATCTAAATCATATAATTGCAAAATGTGTGTACATTGTAATTGGAAATGAGCTTTATATTAGTGAACTGCCATATTATTTTTGAGTGCGATTAATTACATGAGTTTGTCTTTTCCTAAATTGTACCAGATGAATGAAAGAACAAGAATTGAATGAAATTGATAACTTTGTGGCAAAATAAGCAATTTCTCCTACAAAGACATCGAAAAGGATAAATAAGTATGAGGGAAAGAATTAATTTTTCAAAGTCTACATTAACCCATTCAGTACTTTACAATGTTGTTTTGATAATATGCAGATTTAAATAAAAGAGTTGTGAGTAAACAAATTGTACATTAATTTTTGACAACTATTTATACATGTTTTTAATTAAGATTGTGTTACAACAGCTTCATAATGATCATTTTTAAATATGATATGATATAAATGGACCACTTCAGAAATTTGGATAAAATGCACAAACATAAAATTCAAGATATCTGGAGTTGGCAAAACAGTGTCAAAATATTCCAGAATAAGTGGACTCTTATGGTTATGATTTGAGTTTCAGGACCATGATATGGTAGTATTTTTGCTGTCAACATGATTATCAACAACTGCTTTGATTATGAAATAGCAATGTTACTGACATAGTCAAAGTAACTTTTAGTTAAAACGAAACCATTTCAATGTCATCAATTTTGAGTTGGCAAATCATGGCCAAATCATTTTTGACCATGTTCAAAACATGGTTGACTTAGTTATGTCCGTGATTATTTTGATAGGGTTACAAGTTATAAGTATGTTTATAACAAAAGATAAAAAAATTAGGAATTTCAGTGAAAAAATAGGGCATCTTTAGGAATTCCCTTTGAATTTTTCACTTTTTTAGGAATTTTAGCCAAACTGAAAAAAATTAGGATTTTTTTTAGGAATTTTAGGGACGCAGCGGACAGCCTGCATTAGCTTTGAACCACAGAATCAGCATCCAGGCAGAAAGTTACAGCAATGCATGACCATCATCTGAATGGTCACCTGAAATAAAGTTGACATACTGATGCACTGCTTTTCATGGTGACCATGCAGATTGCTATGTGGAGCACAGCAGCCTTGAGCATAGTAATGTGATGCTGATGCAGGCATACACTATCTCTTACCTGTAAAATACAAAAGGCCAAAAGCAGTACCAAAATTCAAATCTCTTTGAATTCCTCGGCAATATATTTTTAAAAAAATATAGGAAAAATATTCAAAATATAGGAGAATATAGGAAAAATAGGAGGTTTTTTAAAATATAGGATTCATACCCAAAATATAGGAGTTTTATAGGAATATAGGAATTGGTTGACAGCCTGTTATTATCTTGAAAACTGTAAAGATTAGTTATATAAAACTGCAAGCAATAATTGATTGTTGTTATTGCTAGATTTGATCAGAATGCACCAGAAAAAAGAAGAAGGCTGTTATTATATAATATCAGAATCCACCAGAAAATGGAAGAAGGCTATTATATATCAGAATCGACCAGAATAAGGAAGAAGGCTGTTATTATATATCAGAATCAACCGGAAAAAGGAAAAACATTTGTGCCAAGTTATTTCAAATTCCTTTGATAAAAGAAGTTATTGACTGGACACAAAAGTGACTGAGCCTATTTCTATATCCTCTTTTTTTTCTTCGAAAAGGCGGGGGACAATTAAAATAAATGATTTCGGTGGTTAATAAGATATGAAATTGTATCGTAAACCTTAAATATGTAAGTGATAGAGACATAAATTTTCAACTTAGTGGGCAAATATAGTGTGAATGAAATCATCTATTTCTAAATTATTATTTCAGATTACAGGGCCGGAGAATGGAAGTGACTGCAAATATGATAGTTACCAAATTACAATGAGTTTCATTATGTTTAATGTTGAAACACTATTTTTGAATAGCATACAACATGCATATATAGGTATTTCTTTCGTCAGATTTACTATGTTTAACGAGTACCAAAAAGCCCCTATAACAGTTACCTGAGAAACACTTTAAAATACATATAATGCGCAGGTGAGCTAAAAAGTTAAGCTCATGTCAAGGTAGATAAGGTCAACTGATACCAAAGTTTAAATCTGAAACTGACTATAGTCCAAATTCATAGCTGTAGTTATAAATGCAAATATATAGGTCACTGGGTCAGAACTGGTTTGATGAAAGTTCTAATCTGCACCACCTAGAACTTGTTGTAGTTCAAATTTCAATGCTGTAACTTTCAATACAAAAAAAGTAGGTAACTAGGTCAAAATCTAGGTCAAAGATCAATTGTGCATATAAAACTATATATATGTATATAGTCCAAATTTGATAGCTTTAGCTTTATTTATAAAAAGTAGGTCAAAATGTAGGTCAACTAATGTCAAAGTTCGTTATTTTGACCCCAATTTAATCAAACTTACATAATGTTTCTTGTCAAATGTCTAAGTCCTAGCCTATAAATTTTCAAGAGTTGTTTAAATTTTAACTTTATACATATAACATTTTTTCCTCAGCACCCAACCCCCATAATTGGTTATTTTTATGATCAAATAGGACAAAGAAATTTGGTTAATTGAAGGGACTCCACTAAGGTTTGTTTTTGACATAACGGGACTGGAAATATTTTTCGAAGATTTGTGTTCCATTTGATGTAGGTCTGGACATGTAGTTTGTGTGCAAATTTTCAGTTCATTCTCTCACCCTGCTTTTCCAAAACAATTATTTTGGTTATGCAAAATGTCAAAAAAAGAGCTCAAATGGAGCTAAGAATCACACAAACGATCGATCAATATTCGGTTAAATTCCTTTATTTTCTTTTGCAGATTTTTCCATCAAAGTGCTTCAATTGATTAATGTAATAATTTCATGTTTTCAAGTTTTTGGAACTCCATTAAATTCCTTTTATATTTCACATATTATACAGATTACAATTTGGAATGCAAGATGGCACAGGCAGTTAAATTTTAAACAAAAAAACCAAAAATATTTTTTTTTCTTTTTTCCTTAAATTTTGGGTTTTTGCTCCTTAAAATTAAGGGGGGAAAAAATTCCTTTTTGGCAATAGAACTGACCCAGAAATAAAAATTTTGGGGGGCCAGCAAAATCCTTGTATAAAAAACCCCCGGGCCCAATTTGATCCTGGGCAAAAAATTTAAAAAAAGCTTGGAAAAGGAAACCCGTTTGGGGAAACCCTCGGCATCCCAATTATCTAATACCTTTTTTTTTGGTTTAAAGAGAAGGTTTTTTAAAAGGCTTTTGCTAAACACTAAAAAGGGAAAAAACTTTCCATATCCCCTCTCCCGGGCCAAAAAATTTGAACCGGGGGTTTAAAAATTTGAAAAATTTAAAGTAGAACCCTTTTTAAGTTTTTCCCTTATATTTTATAAGGAAAATTTTGGGAAAAGCCCCAAAACATACAAATTGTTTTCAAAAAATTTTAAGCCCTAGCTTTTACAGTTTTGGAGAAGTAATTTATTTTGGTTGCTATGGCAATCAGAGCTATACATGGAGTGGAATTCTTAGAATAAGAAAAAGCTTCCTACCAGAAACAATCCTGCTTAATTTTAACAATATTGGCCGACTAGTTTAGGAGGAGACTGATTAAAAGTTGACGCAAGATAATGGACATAGCCTGGTCATATAGGGCAATAATTGAAAATATTTTTAAACTTATTAATAAAAAATTTTTAAACAAAAAGTTTTTTTGTAAAATTAAAACCAAAGCTGAAACCCCCAAAGGGCATTTTAAATATTGAGAAAAAAATTAAAACTTGAATAGTTTTAATTAAGATTTTACAGTAATACACACAAATTTTTTGTCATACATTTTTGATATGATAAAGTATCTTTTGGGATTTTGTTTTCTTTTGTTTTCTTCTTTGTTTCTACTTTTGATGCATTCATCTGATCTTGTAGCATGTTTATATGCTCCAACTGAAAAACATCCACAAGAATTCTGCTTATTTCTTCTAGTTATTACAGCTTATTTTATACAATTTTTTTTTCTATCAAATTCAAGTGGTCATAACAAAATCAATTGTGAACAAACTTGACGGAGGATGGTAACACAATGTGAAATGCCTCGTTTGTGCGGATCTGTTCATTTCTTCATATTTAGGTTAAGATACCCTTAGATTACACGACCATGCATAATTACAAAGTTGACTGGAAAATATCAGTTTAAGAGAAGATAATAGTTAGTGAAAAAATCTATTTTTGCAATTCAAGTTTGCAAAATGCATCATTCATACAATGCAATCTACATTGTTTACTATGAATTCTGAAGGACTTAAGAATAGGATGATAAAATTTCTATGTAAATAAGATCAAAATTAAAATTTCAAAGTAAATAAGATCAAAATTAAAATTTTCAAAGTAAATAAGATCAAAATTTACCAATTTTGGGCTTTTGCGAATCAACATCTTCACATCATCTGCATTTATTGTAGATCTTTTACCATGCCTGAAAATTAGATGACTTGAACCTTGACACTAAACTTTTTTATGCTTCACTTTTTAGAATCTTATAAATTATAAAACTTTTCATAGCATAAACTAATCCAATTGGTTAAGGACACAAACCATTTGAAAAGCTTTCATTCAAAATGAAATATAAAGCATGAAATTTCTCTTTTAAACATCTAAAAATTATACTATATGGGCCCACCCCCATTTCCCCAAAAACTTACCCCTGTGCCTGGCAAATTCCTGGGGAAAGGCCTGTGTATATGAATTGTTTTGATGATTATTGATAGAAATTTATAAACTTCATGAATTTGTTGGAGGTTAAATGAATATCTTTGCTATTTTACTGAATTTTTTTACTTAAAACTGTAAACATACTTTGCGAACATCTCTAAATCGACGGCCCATGTTTCAAATCGTTTCCATGCTGTTTCAGAGATGGCAGCAACAACAATTCTATTGATGTCAATTTGTTTATCCTCTACACTTTCTTTACATACTCTTAATGTAGTATGGTGTACTGCTGCCTTCAGTCTCTGTAATACACTTGAAAACATCAACACTGTTTATCATGTAAACATGCCCACCATCAACACTGTTTATCATGTAAACATGCCCCCCATCAACACGGTTTATCATGTAAACATGCCCCCCATCAACACTGTTTATCATGTAAACATGCCCACCATCAACACTGTTTATCATGTAAACATGCCCACCATCAACACGGTTTATCATGTAAAAATGTCCACCATAACTAGTCATATAGAATAGCATATAATTATGATATCTAAGGTTTTTTTTACAGGGCTTTTTTCCCTTCTATAGCAGGGGCTGTTTAAGGGAGGCTCCCCCCCCCCCCCCCCCAAAAAAAAAAAATCTTTAAAATCATGCAAAAATTGAATTGACATCAAGTTCTTTCTCCCCCTTTTACAAAAATACCATATCATTTTTCCCCGAAATTAGGGAAAATGCTGTTTCCCCAGCCTGTAAAAATGCCCTGCTTTAGTTTTAAATTTTATTAATAAAAATCAACAGAATTCCTGACAAAGGAAACCGTTACTTTCAAATCTATCAATGCAGACTACTACAGATAAATAAGTTAATTTTCATACATGTATTTGTTTTTGACTAACATTTAATAATATAAAAATATTAAAAACCTTTGCTTTCTATTTTAAAATGTGTATTATTTTCAAATATCCTCACAATTAAACAACAGTTTAAGAGTCATTTATATTACTAAAGATTGCTAGCACACTTTAGAGAGTGACATCCCGAATATTTCAATGAAAGGACTCCTTAATGAAAGCATATATAATTAACCACCCAATGGGTTAATAGGTATTGACTTTGTTTTGCGAAAAAAAGGGAAATACTTTCAAAACCGTTGATTTTTTAAATGCTTAAGACCATGTCACAACATACAGACTGTGCTGTGTGCACATTACTATGTCTGCTTAGATATGCATCTGCTGATAATCATGTGCTTGTTGTAATTTTTGTTTTCTTGTCAAGAGGAGATATTAGGTGTTTGTAATATCAAATTCAAACAAGAGCCGGTTAAACTGGGTGATGCTCCCCTACTAGGTTTTGGGCACAGAAAAGTATATCTTTTGTAGTTTCAGAGTTATATCCCAGACAAAGTTCAAAGAATGATAATTCAAAACTTAGGCAAGGCAGAGTTACTGTTCTTTGCACTGCACTTCTTATTCAATTTGAGAATCTAAAATCTACCGACTTTGCAATGCGACACGTTCGTTCTCAATTTTATGTCGATATTTCTTTGTGAAATAGTTGTTAAATCCGACTTTAAATAACAAAGTTATGGGCTGGACACGATTTTACTGCAAGGTCATGCTGTGACCTTGACCTTTAAGCTAGCGACCCAAATGTTGGGCGCGACATGTCTTCTCAATATGGTGATCATTTCTGTGAAATAGTTGTAAAATCCTACTTCAAATAACGAAGTTATGGGCCTGAAACGATTTTGCTGTCATGCTGTGACCTTGACCTTCAAGGTAACGACAGACAACCCGGCGACTATATGCTCCCCCGAAATTTTTCGGGGAGCATAATAAATACAATTGAATCTATGGCTTAATTCAATGTATTTCTGGATAATCCCTCTTAATTTTTCCATTTTAAATACTATTGTACATGTATATTCACTCTTTTTTCTGAAAAAAAAAGGATCACTTTTTACAGGTGGTGCTAGATATGCACTGAGATACCATATATGTTTAAAACAAAACGTCAGCAATCAGTGATCACATGCCGCCTGATGATACTAGCCAAATAAGCAGTTGTATTGAGGGGTGATTGACTAGTTTGTTCCCTATGTTGTGGCTTTTTTGTGGCATGTTGTAGCTACTAAGTGACAGGAGACACAAAGATCATTTAAGGGCCAAAACATTTTTTTTTTTTCAAGGGCCATAACTGAGCAAAAAATCATTCAACTTGAAAACCATTAATTATGCACAAGAACTTGAGGTATCGATCAATCCTGTTAAGTTCAGCTCAAATTGCATATAGAGAGAAGTCGTTGAGACTTTAAAAAACAAAAAAACAAGAGCAATGCAAAGGCAGGGCAATATACACCGAATATATATAAACCAAATGTACATGTAAATTTGTTTGAGTAACCAAAATAAAATAAAATAATATTTGTTTTAGAGACCCAATCAAGAAACTTGTCTGAAAATGTTTTATCTTTATTATCCTTATCAGCTTATGATACTATATGACCTCCCAGGTGGAGGCATTTTTTACTCTAAGAGTATGCATAATCTGGGACATAAGATAATCTTATGTCCCAGGCACAGGGACCCAGCACAGTGTTGGGATAGTGTAAAAAAGTAATTCTAGAAAAAAAAAATACACTGTATATATAATTTATAGACAAGGGGTTGAACTAGCCAAATCGGCCGAATGCCGCTAGTCCAGTATAAGTCAAAATTGCAAAGTCATTTTTACGAAAATCATAAAAAGCTATATATCAAATTGCAGCTAAATGACATCACTAGACATTGATAATAACATCATTGTCCCCATTTAAACCGTTTATGAACAACAAACCGATATTTTGGATAGAATGTCGTATTTTTGCTAGGTCGGACACGACCGTGTAACCTGTCCCCACTCGATTTTCTATGTGTAAAAACACAATTTCAGACCATGTCATTGTACCAACCCGCAATAAATCCATAGGAACTCTGGAACAGGACCGCATATTGCGGCGCATAAATCCGAATCCTTACCGGCTTTACATATTATATAGTTTGTCCGACCTTTAAATATCTTTTCATATTATGCGAGCGGGTGGTCTTTAATTATCTAATCTCAATTTAATATAATCTGCTAATTTAAAAATCAGTCAAATTTACGGTATATTGAAAACTTTTTTTATAATACCGTAAAATTTGACCAGTTTTAAAAGAGACAGATTGGGTTCAATTGATAATATATTTTTTGAGTCCATACACTCGTATAATACTAAAAGATATTTAGATGTAGCAGAAACGTTTTTAAAAACCGTTACACGATCGAAAATATACGCCGCAATCTGCGGTCCCGTTCTCGAGTTCCTATGAATAAATCGATAAAACAAAATATATCTATATATTATATATACAGTGTATATTTTTTTCTAGAATTACTTTTTTACACTATCCCAACACTGTGCTGGGTCCCTGTGGTCCGACTCCCTGGCATAATTCATAAAACTTTTGAAATTTAAGAAGTCGACTTAAGGCAATGCTATGTATGCCAAATATAGAGGCATGGTATTTATCCACAAAAACATGTTTTCCCATACCTTAATTAATCCACAAAAGTCAAGTGACTCTCGTGGGGGCAGGGCCAATTTTGACCTGAGGGTCATGACTAATACAACTTTTGATGAAATCTACAAATTGATGCTACAATGCACATGCTAAATTAATTATAATTACATTGTATTATGATGTGGGACGAAATGTCACTATGATGGGACAAATCTTCACTAAAGTGGGACAAGTCAATATCGGGCAAACGTCAGTGGGGCAAATCCTTTCAATTCAAACAGAAAAACAAAAATATTGGGCATTGAATTTCAATATATAGAAAATAGATAGAAAAAAAAAAAAATGTTTAATTTAAAGGGAAGTAGCGTCACGTACGGTTAGCCAGGACACACCAACTTTTGGTAGCCACTTCAGTTGGCGAATGAAAAATGGGAAACAACTCACAAGCCGAATTTCTGGAATTATGTTTTGTTTGAGAATTTTTTGATTACCCAGCACATAAACACTGATAAACCTGTTTGTTTACCCAGACCAAAGTTCAGTAGTCAGGTATGTAAATTTAGCAGTTTGTAGTGAACATTGATAATATATGGTAAACTGTGGCATTGCCAATTGACAAACTGACTAGAGTACCTAGCAACTACTAGACTGAATTTAACAAAAAAATTATTATACCCACACCTGGATAAAATTTAAAAGACAAACCTGGCAATGGGATAATTGCTCAAAATTTTCTTCTGTTGTCATTTTTTGTATTTCCCGCAAATTATGTTGGACACATAAATGTATAAATTTGTGACAATATTAAGAGGGAAAAGGTTTTAGACCGCTATATTAGGATAGCGTTTGTGCGCAACAATAAACCTGATATCTCCAACCCAAATAACGTTGTTGTTTTTTATTATATTAAAAGCTATTTTGTGAGAAGAAGCTATAGTGAATAAAAAAAGTTGGACAATTTAATCTAAAGGGCCATTAAAAAAAATAGTCTTTTTTTTCAACCAACCCCCGATATGAGACATTTATTCTTTTAGTATATATGGGACGGAAAGTTCCCAATAAATTTTATTGTTAATAACATAACACACAATATAACAAATTTTCCAATAATTTAAAAACCATAAAAACCCAATTACATACAAAAAAAAGGGGCAATGGGGTTTCCTCCTTAAGGGGCCAAAGCAAAAAAATGGAAAACCCCATTACTGATCGCAAAGTTGAGCATCATGTGAGCTTTTAGAATCTTTGAATGTCCGTCGTCTGTCGTCCATCCACATTTGTTCATTAACAGTAGTGGTCACATCATCATCAAACTTTGTCAAGATGCTTGTCTAGGTAATTGCTCGGATGAGTCCGAGCATGGGTCATCTCGGATGAAAAACTAGGTCACAGGAGCGAAAAATAGAAAAAAAATATTGTTAATACTCTAGTGGCTACTGTATTGATCCAAATATCCTGGATATTGGTCTGAAAAGTTGTTTTTATGATTTCAATGTCAAGTTCGAATGTGGGTCACCTGGGGTCAAAAACTAGGTCACACCGCCCAAATATGGAAAAAAACCTTGTTAACACTCTAAAGGTCACATTTTTGACTCAATTATCATCAAGCTTAGTCAGGATGCTTGTCTAAATAATTGCTCAGATGAGTTCGATGGGTCAGGTGAGCGATCTAGGGCCATTTTGCCCCTATTGTTTCATCTTCAAGATTTCACAAGTGAATCAAATAAATTTTAACTTTAATACAGACACAAGTATTTTCTTCTTGATTGGCATGCAGTGAAATGCAAGTAAACCTCGCCTCAAAAGAAATATTCTATTCTCGTTTTCGATTAAACAAAGTGAAATCAGCGTATCGATAAGATATACTATCATTTGTAGTGATTTATATTGACATTGGTAAACTGAGTGAGGCTAGTCAATATTCTTTTTCCGTTTTCGTTTGATTTTTGTGAATGGTATTCACTTATTCTTTTACAAAATAAAGGTACTCTATGGCGACAGCGATCCATTGCCAAATACTAATATTGTACTATTTAAAGTGTGAAATAATTCGATATAATTTTAATGTAACAAATGAAAGGGGCGCTTTTTACTTCCTCAAACTTTCTTCAATTTTTTTTAATCGTTCTACGTCGACATAAGTAACGATATAGAAACTTCCATATACTTGACATGGACTATCTATATCCATATCTATGAAATCAATACTTTAAGTATGCTGAATGTCTTTTATCTTTTCCTTAATGGATTATTTTATTCAAACTCGGCTTAGAAAAATCTGTATATTTCGGGTATTGTTTTAGTTACAGAATGATACACAAAATAATAAAGCATAGATTGCTTTATGGAATTGATCCGTAATTAGTTTAATGTTTTATATCATGCATCTAATGATCTCTTCAGCACATATGGAATTTTGACCGCCGATTCCTTCGTTTGGAGCCAATTTAATCTCAATAAAATTTCAATAAGGGTTTGTTTGAATGTAAAACATCGTTCGATGGAAAGAGTTTGTAAAAACTCTGTGTTTTTGAGTCCGTTTAGTGACATACTTATTGCATGTTTTGGACACACAAGAACCCACAACGGCAAAGACTGCATGAAAATCCGATACAAAATATTTGTTAACGATGCTTAAATTTGAGATCCATGTTGGGTTCACTGTCATCCCCTCCCTCCCGCATGGAATAGCACTGATATACATATAACGTATGTAAAAATCGATGTTTTTTAAGGCGAAACTTTAAGTACATGTATAAAGCATATTAACAGGTTAATTATCACGTACAATTCACGAATATCCCTTTTCAGTGGTTTTATAAGTTGTCATAGTTCTTCGATCGGGACTGTTCATTTAAACGGTCTGAATTTTCATGTACATTTGTTTCTTTCGGGATGTCTCTCCTTTCAAGAATTTAAAAAAAATCTAGATTTGTTACAAATTGACTTAGAACTCTTCATTGTACCACAAGAGCTTAAAATATCTATCAAATAGTTGATATTAACAGAAACATCCCAAATACCCCTAAATGGTATAATTATTTCAAACTATACAGGCGTACTATGGATATTATTTTTATATAAAAATATCAATTTCAAACTATATAGGCGTACTTTGGATATTACTTTTATATAATAATATCAATCAGTTTCTTTGCATTCATAACTAAAGATCATGTAACACATTTTTTATGGTTTTATATCATAAATATGAAGCTCAAATTAAGATTTATTAATTTTGTAAGTTCCAAAAAGCATTATTTTTAAAGATATTACTGAATTTAACATTTAATGTAAATAAAGGGAAGTAATAAAAAATTTATTTTCTATAAAGTGTGGTATGCAACCTCAATTACAACATACAGGATCTTTAAATAATCATTTTTCAAGTTCAAAATTGCGTACATTTACCGTGATAAAGATTATATTATCCACATTCTAAGAACAAACTATACATGTAAATTGGCTTTGCAATATAGATATATAGATATATTTTTTAGAAAAAATGAGTAAGTACATACTTTATGTACATTGTATATATACACATCATATGTAGGCTATATAGCACACGTACTTTTCGTGTCAAGTCATTCGAAAGAAAACTAGATAAACTATATAAAAAAGAAGGCTATTGAATATATTTATTCGATAAGGAAATTCCAATTGATTGAACAATGTGACCGCGAATCACTTGATCAATATATAAAATGTAAACATTTGATTTATGCGTCACTATGATATCAACCAATCAGGAAGCTCGTTACAAATAGTCACTAATATATTAAGCATAGTAATGGTTGCTATGTATATATAAACAATGTAAAATGGCGTACTAAAGATAGCTGATAATACAATATATTTGGAAAGAAACCTTTTGAAATCATGGACACACGCCAGATTAATGACCCCGATATCGATATTCGCATTATACTTTTAAATTCCACAACTAACTATGTCTGTGTATTATCTATAAACACAAACATAACTTTAAATCGACTAAAGATCGTGTTAATACACGAAACAGCTTAAGCTTCGATTGGCATGTATACATGTTTGAACCACGTTTCTGTTTGTCTCAATACACAAACTGTGGTTGACAATGTGAATAAGGAAGACAATTTATTAGTTCATTCAATGTTTTATGACCTATCTTTAATAAAATAGCTTTCTTTGTGCGGATTATTTTGTTTGGAAATAAAATTCTTACATTGATATTGGTCTACATGTAAAAATTGTCTACGAAATGTATATAAAAAACAGTGAAGGGTGCTTCAGTAAGTGTTGACAGATTAATGTAATGGATTTACAGGATTAATAGAATTAACTATGGCAACACAGAGTTCTTTACCCCCATGTGTGAAGTTAACTGGTGGTAAACGTGTTGCTCCGGGACCTTTAATCGTGACAACAAGTGATGAGGATTCTTCAGATGGGGAATTGTTTCCAACAAGTCCTAGGGCCAGTATTGCCCCGAAGGTAAGTCCCCGTGCTAACGTGACGAATATAACAGAGACATATCCCAGTTTGAAATTAGACTTATCACGGACCTTCCCTGAGAAAACAGATAAGTTTGATACTTTTAGACATGAACGCTCAGAAACAAAATTACAGACTTTTACTGCTCGGGCATCGTCGCCGTCAGCCGAACCCGGCTCAAACTCTCACAGGCAGGCCTGTGAAGGATACGAACATGACCACGATTATGAAAATGTAGCATCGCCTAGTGGGAGCAGTACAGCAAGTGGTCCAGTATATGTAAGGCCACCAGGGTTTCAGCACCATGCGCAGGAAATTAGAAGGAAAAAGAAAAAACCGACTGGCTTGTTAGACCGAAGAGAAGGACTCAAGAGTCGAGCCCCAACTCCACCAAAAGTCAAACCTAGACGAGGTAGGTTAAATATTAACTCCAAAAAAAATTAATTAAAATAGCACAGCTATTGACAGTTTTTTCTACAAGTATTTTGGACAAAAAATTCCCAGCATATATTAAGTCGATCTACGTGTACCTGGAGTTTTTCATAGAATTTCAAAACGATTTGACAGTAATTGTGATATTCAATAACCGAGGGTTAAAGAGTTCATGTCATAGTTAGAAAATACCGTACATGCCAAACTGTTACACGAAGCCAATTTATATTGCGTTCTTGTATTTTGTTTGGGTAGAATTTAAAGTTTTTGAAGGCATGTGATAAACCTGCATAGGTAGAATATCTGCCATATTGATTTGAAGATTATATTTAATATGTTTACAAGTAATTAAAGTAGATCTAGTGATACGAAATCTATAAAACATCTGAAGATACATATTATGTTATACAGATGAATGCTACATGTGACTTTTTAAATAAGAACAGTAAACTGTTATAAAGAGTAATTTTTCAATAGTGTAAGATTAACATAAGCGCGCTTTTAGCTATGTATATATATTATATTAAATGAGTGTAGTTTAATTAATACTAAATTTATTGAACGAGTTGAATAAAATAATATGCGAGCCTCTGGCGAGCATAATATTGTTTTATTCAACGAGTTTAATAAATTTAGTATTGAATCTACACGAATATAATATTCTATTTATCACAAATATAAAATAAGAACAGTAAACCGTGTTAAAATGAGTATTTTTCAATGTGTACAACGCTAACATTAGCGCGCTTTAAATAACGCTATGTTTCTATATAGCGCAAATGACGTCACGTCAAAGTGTTATTACGCTACTGTAGTGTAATATCGTTTAAATAATTACATGGCTTTATTACAAATATATTTAATATATACGGCTGTTTGCGATTTAACCCTCGCCTAGCGGCTCGGATTATATTTACAAATAGCCGTTAATATAGGGCCATATATAACCTGTCAACAATCTTTATAACTAATAATATAAACGTCACGGTTATCAAATGAAAAGCGACGTTAAAAACGTGCAGTATTATAAAACGCAAATGACGTCACGCCAAAGTGTTATTACATAGAGGATATTTGTTTGTTTGTGTGTAAGATGAAATTTTATTTCATCGAGTGGGCTTTAAAAACAGTATTCTCACGAGTGGCGTAGCCACGAGTGAGAATACTGTTTTTAAAGTTCACGAGATGAAATAAAATTACATCTTACACAACAAACAGACAAATTTTCTTTTTATTTTATGCTTTAAAACAAGTTAAAACGAAATTTCCATAATTTTAACGTTAATATTAAAATCTGTTTCCCCCATTGAGAGCCCCATTCAGAGGGAATTTCTCATTAAAACAAGAAGTCTTGAGCTGAGAAATAAGTCCGCCAATCAAGGTTAAATGACGGTGATATTTATTCATTTTATTAAAAAAATATGAATGATCGCTTGTTTTAATAATAAAAACAAACAATTCTTGTAGGAGAAAAAGTCCAATCATCCATCCATATTTCTGTTACTTACTGCGAATTTATATTAGACCTGGCTTTGTAAAATGTAAGCGGCAGCCATTTTTTAAAGTTGTGTATTTCATGGGAGGAAAATAATTGTGTAAGATTCAGAAGGATATAATTTGGATTTGTTAGTCATACACCTTTTTAAAAGAAAGAAAACTTATTTGAGGATTGTAACAGACAAAAAATAAGTGTTGACAGAAGTGAAAACATTCAGAAAAGGAGCTAGGAAAATGGAAAACTTGGAAGCTTGCTAAGGCATTGTAAGGAACGCTGGGTTATTTTACTTATTTTACGAGTGATGGCTGTCAATGCTTTTCAATTTTTCATAAAGCATACGGCAGTTATTGCTCGTAGGATACTTTAATATGCCCAAATGTCATCAAGAGCAGTTTAGCATGGGGAAGGAATGTATTTTTCAGACTGTAAAAACGAAACAAAAAAAATTAGAGACGAAATTTTGTGATTGGAATTTGAAGGAATAGAAGTAAGTTTTCTCTCTTTATTACTTTAGACATTTAAGTTATTTATCTATTTCAGCTTTGCTATTTTTTTTAACAGCCTGATATTGTCAGAATTGTCAGTAAAAATAAAATTGAGGTACAACATGGGGAAAATCTTAAAAAAGTAGTTTTGTCATTGAAAAAAGTGAAATTATATTTTGATAATTTTCACTGTGAAATTATCAAATATAATTTTCACGGATAAATCAGTAATCCACTGAAAAGTATAAAATAAACTATAGTCTGTCCCATTAAAAATGGAAATGAACTTTTGCCTGGTGTGAATTAACAAAACGAGGTTGAATAAAAATTTAACTATTTTTGTAAACTAAAAAAAAGTCACCCTCGAGATTTTTCAGGATTTTACTCTAAAATGTCTACTTTTCTTGTGAAAGCAAATTTTGATTTCTCTATGGAAAATCTCTGTTGTTTATTTTCCGTAGCCATTGCCGAAGTACTCTTCATTTGAAGATGAACGGGAGAAAGCACGTGTCATGTTTCTAAAATATACATGAGGTTCTCGGGGTCGTTTCATGATTATTTTACAAAGCTGGATCTACAAGATGTAACAGTTTAGTTGCAATGCATGATGAAAAACTTAAAAAAAAATGAAAAATAAGCTACAAGAACACCGAGTCAAATGGATAAAATATCTAGAAATTACACTTACTTTTAAGCTGAATAGAATTCCTATGAATTTCGGAATAGATATTTATAAACGTCCCTTCTGAAGATTCCTTCATTGCCAGTATCTATCCAGTTCCGTAGATCCGATTTTTTCTACTTCGAAACTCCTAAATGACATGACTCCTACACTTATGATGATCCAGATTTTTTAAACTGTTAATCCGTCTCATTATTAAAACATTGTTCAATTTGTGGAGTTATCTGGGTTAGCAAATGAAATATGTAAATGAAACACATCATAATTCATTATGTTCCAAATCCATAATTCAAGAACGGCCCATCAATTTTAGTTGTCAACATCACAATGCTTATAACTCTTGAAAATGGATTCCAGACGAAACTTTATTACGTCAACAACAAAATATATGACGTAACAAAAATGCCTCGCGATTCCAGTTGCGGCATTGACAGAGAGCGGCTAGGCATTATGTAACCTCAAACAGATAATTTTAAGCGTTGAGATGAATTTGTCTTGATGGAATTTAAAATAATTTTTGTATACCCAGATTTTGCAACTTAACTGTAAAAATACACCTTCAATTCATATATGAATAATAAAACTTTTGATAATTTAGATAATTTTAAACACACTTAATGACATGAATCTCCAACAGTACAATACTTCTTCCATTAATTACATATTACATTCGTTTTGATTTTATGTTTTAAACTATTTTACATATTTCTCAGAAATAATTTCCCTACATATAATCTCGTTTTTCATGACTTCTGTAAATCCTACTATTTTAGCTACAAAATATACAATATGCCGTATTTTTCTCCCGCGAAAAATATGCTAGATCTATTGTATTTTCACTGAATATTTTTAAATTTTAGGAAGGCTAAAATTATTGAGAAAGTCACTCGGTGTTTCTCTTTGACTCGATCTCCCCTTCATATTAACATAATAATTATATGTAACACTTTGAGTCTAAAAAAACACACTTATTGTCGCTTATTGAACACTCCAATTCAATTTATTCAAACTTATTCTTAATAATATCAAATCAGTGAAATCACTGACATTTTGTTGAATTGTGAGACGGGAAGTTAAATTTGTATTTACAAACTTAAAGTGTATAGGCCTACGTTTGATTGCTCAAACTAGAAAGCATGATATTATATATATTCTTATAATTTAACATTTTCCTCGAACGCGAGTCTGTGTTCTCTCATTAGCCAGGGAGTTAGTTAAAGTAGACACTGTGGTAACAAGCAAACCAATTCTGAACGTATAGTGAATCAGTTTTCCTTTCTATATATTTCTTGTCAGATTTGCATGATAAAGTAGTATTTGTTGGCGATTTTTTGTGAAAGTTGAAACCTACGGAAAGTTTTAGCGCACGGACATCGCACCCGAAATAAGAAGGGTAACATATTCTTGTATCCCATCGAACCTGGTCAATTTAATTATTTTTGAATAGAAGTGATACATACTAATGGACAGAATTCAGACAACTAAAGAATTGTGTAAATTAAACATTAATTAGCAAAGAACCATTTTTTATAGTCTTCTAGCTGGGTCATGTGGGGGTTACGTTCATTGAACGCCGCCTTTCCTTGTTGATATTGTTTATCATATTCTAGCTAGTGTTCCCGCTCCCTACGACATGCTGCGGTAAGATACGCACTTTATTGGAAAGCTATCTAATCAAATCACTTCATTGTTCTTTTTTATCTTAAAAAATACGACAGTTTATCATGGTTATTAATTTAATCTTTGTGTGTAAGAATTTATAAAGCGGTTAGCGATATTTTAGCTTTAAATGATTTTGATTATTTTAATAATAGTTTGCTAGTAAAATTGCCTTTTTGACACCAACTTTGTTCTCATTTTTCATTTTAATGATAACATTTAGCTATTGATCAGTAAGTAAATAAATATAATCAAATTTTTATAATTAACGAGTACATTTCTCCGTAATTGTGAGACGAACCCTAAATGACGTCTATATGGGCGCCGCCATTTTGAAATGGACGTCACGTCAGGTTACAACGTAAGCCAACGGGGAAAAATATAATTTTAACATTTTGACCATATTACTGACTTTATGAAAAAAATGAAAAACATGCCTAGAGATATTGACGTCAGGGTTAAGATGACATTAATTTAAATGATTTTACTATTATATTAAATAAAAAATGGAATGTTCAAATTTGATGGGACAGACTATAGTCTAATATCGTTTTTTATTAAATACAGTAGAAGCTAAAAAAATGGGAATGTCTCTAAAATTGTAATAAATATAAGTCAGGTGGTATGAAAACGCTTAATTTTGTGAAAATCCATGAGATATTGACTGATTTATGCTTTCCTGTACGCTACTTAAGATACTGTCATAAAACTATGTTAGAAGACACAAACGTGTACTAAACGTGAATGTTATATCAGTTGTTAGAAGACACAAACGTGTTCTAAACGTGAATGTTATATCAGTTGTTAGAAGACACAAACGTGTTCTAAACGTGAATGTTATATCAGTTGTTAGAAGACACAAACGTGTTCTAAACGTGAATGTTATATCAGTTGTTAGAAGACACAAACGTGTTCTAAACGTGACTGTTATATCCGTTGTTAGAAGACACGAACGTGTTCTAAAACGTGAATGTTATATCAGTTGTTAGAAGACACGAACGTGTTCTAAACGTGAATGTTATATCAGTTGTTAGAAGACGCAAACGTGTACTAAACGTGAATGTTATATCAGTTGTTAGAAGACACAAACGTGTACTAAACGTGAATGTTATATCAGTTGTTAGAAGACACAAACGTGTTCTAAACGTGAATGTTTTATCAGTTGTAAGAAGACACAAACGTGTTCTAAACTTGAATGTTATATCAGTTGTTAGAAGACGCAAACGTGTACTAAACGTGAATGTTATATCAGTTGTTAGAAGACACGAACGTGTTCTAAACGTGAATGTTATATCAGTTGTTAGAAGACACGAACGTGTTCTAAACGTGAATGTTATATCAGTTGTTAGAAGACACAAACGTGTTCTAAACGTGAATGTTATATCAGTTGTAAGAAGACACAAACGTGTTCTAAACTTGAATGTTATATCAGTTGTAAGAAGACGCAAACGTGTACTAAACGTGAATGTTATATCAGTTGTAAGAAGACACAAACATATACAATAAACGTAAAATTAATGCTAGTTTAAAAACTTCAGCCATTTTTTACCATATTTTATTCTCCCCTGAGTTTTGATTTGGTTAGGTAAGTGTGATAAACAGTAACAGTATTAACTGTTTTTATCCGTTTGTAATTTTGTTAACTTTTGTGATTGAAATTATATTTTGACCAGTAAGATTGTTGTATTTATCAGTTGTATGGTACATTTAATTTATATACATGTATTTTATATATGTAATCGGTACCAATTAACTTGTACCGTCAATCAGCATGTCATACTCTATGTAATATTTTCAACCATTAAGTAGGTTAGTATTGGTATAGTCAGCTTTAATTGTATTAATAACAAATACTAACAAATACTAACCTATACTTGTGGAAATTGACAATCTCGGAATCTTAGTCTATTTTAGCAGATTATACTGACGTCTCACATTGTTGTCAGTCGGGTTCAAGGAGTTCACCGCAAAACTCTCTACATATGTTATATTGGTGCAGAACAATTATTAAATTTATATAATTTTATTTGAACCTATAGCTAACCAATACTCCTCAATCGATTTCCGCTTATATTGTAAGTCTATTCTGTTATGTTAAATATTTTAATATTTAATAGTTAGTGGGTCAACTTTGAAAATTGCTTTTATGGCAACTATTTAGAATTAGTTCGTGCAGAGTTGGTAAACAGTTCTATCGATTTTCCATGATGCTGCTTAGCATGTGTGTATGATTGTCAGCATAAGAAATAAGTCGCACAATATCTCGGGGAATCACCCAACGAGATAAAGGTGGAAATGACGAATCCTTTGCCAATTTACTTATGTGATTGATTTATAACGCTGAATTGCTTATATAATATTGATATTTATGTATATATTTGGTACACAACTTAACTCACTTTAGAATAAATTCATCGTTTTATTTACTCCAGAAATATGTCAGTATATTTTGTTAATTAAGTATAAGTTTTATTAAAGGCAGAATGCAGTAAACAGCGCGGTAATGTTACAGGAATTCAGTCACATGTAAATACGGCGTTTGTATCATATTTTAACATTTAAACTTTAATTCTCGAGATGATATCCTTGTATTGCTTGTCGAATGATGTATATAGATCCTAGTTAAAATATTGACATTTAAACATTGTTTCAAAAGAAGAGAAAAGTACAAATATTAAACCCCAGTATTAATGTGGCAAATTCGTGTTATACAAACACCGATGTTTTAACAGTATAAAACAGTTCAATGTTATCAAAATTAATCCTGTCTGATCCTTTAAGTTTTATATAGCTGGTGTTTGTTGTCAGATACAAATAGAAACTATGTAAGACCACTTCACAACCATCGGCCGCTTTCTTAGTGCAAACCAGTTCTCAACGTATATCTATTATAGGAATTTAAATTATGCAAAATGAAGTACAAAGAGCGCACTTAATATAAAAAATGTAAAATAAATCTTGATGCAACATGGACCGCCCGTTGAGGCCGTGTGAGGAACAGCAAAGCGGGTCAATAAGCTAGTTTTGTTTAGTGTCTTTTAAACCGAACATATAGAAATTTCTAATATTTTAGAACTAACAACTTTGTAAAAGTGAATAACTACCGTGTACATATATCATACTACAGTATCATTTCGCTTTTTTTATGTCATTAACTCCAGTAATGCTTAATCCTAATTGATTTGTTCAATAATTTCAGATCCTTTGCCAATGAGGCTACGAGCGTTACCACAGTCATTCTGGAAACAACCGAATAATCCAGCCTCATTGTCACCAGGAAACATGTTTTCATCTTTACCTCCCCTTAGTTATAACAAAGACGAGGAGGTGGCAGGTACTGTATCTGAACCTCTTATATATTACTCTAATGTTAATATAAATGTATCAGATAATTACTCTTTTATTAAATGAACAATTTTCAGATCCGTTAAACGTGTTTCACTGTTTTCATTTATTGTAAATATATTTTAAGTCATATGCATGTATAAAGTAAGAATTGACAGTTATAAACTATATTCAGCGTGTATAACACGAACAAAACAGACATTGGGATTTCGTGAATGAAACCAAGTCGGATATTACACTGAGTGGTATAGAAAAAAAAACCCAATCGAACAGAAATTTACAAATCATTTCTCTTTTATTATAACCCGATTATATCATTCATACTACATTGTGATGTTACATTATTTTCGCCCTGTCGCCATAGTACATCTCGTTATCGCATGGTCGCATTGACGTCATCGCACTATCGTATTGTCGTTGTCTCACTGTCGCACTATGGCATTGTCGCTCTCTGTATTTTAACATATAACCATGATGACCCTAACGGTATTCCGTATAATTGGCATTAAATTAAAGTTTCACAATACACAGCAATATATACAGATATTTGGTTCATTCGTTATAGAAGAAAAGTTTAATCTTGGATTATTATAAGGACAGTTGTGGTAACTGATCATTTCCATGATATCTACCAGATCAATAACATAAATATCGATCTATCAGGAATGTTAATATTTCACTGTTTGCTTTTTCTCATTGAATCCTATTTATGAACGGTATAAAGAATATATTATTGGTATTTTTTAAACTTTAAATAGCTTGAATTCTTATGAACGCATTTTATGTGATCACGATCTGACGATATGTGCGTTCTATTTTTAAAACTTTATTTACCCACTTTTGTATAGCAAGTATATAAAAGCTGAAGTTAATACCAAATATCTGTTGAAAAGATAAAAAAAAAGTTTCGTTTCGTCAGTAGATTCAGACGACTTTCTTACCTCTTTTAATATAGATAAACCGATATATATTAAATACTAATCAATGAAATATTGATGAAATAAATTGCGTATTTTCATTTTCCGTATTTTCCACTGTAAAAAATTATTTCACTGGTGTCTTGCAGGACTACTTTCTTCAAAATGTAGCCAATTCTTCAAATATAATTCTTCAAATTGTAATGACAAATAGGGAGAAAAATGTAAATGATAAGTATTTTCTGTAGAAATAGGATTAATTTTCATCGTACGGTATGAAAATTATCATATTTCACCTAAGGCTACCGCCACTATGAAATATTTATTTTCTTACCACTGGATAAAAATAAATATTGTATTTATAGAAAAAAATACTTAAATATCCACTATAAAGTATACTGTAGTAAATGTACAAAATATTTGTTTATTATGTATTCGATCTACAAACTCATTAAACTTAGATGCAAAATAAGAAGTTCATTAAATTCTAACATTTCATTGAAACACAGAGATTCAGCACATGATGGTATTACCAATCAAAACTACTCTGAAAGTTTGATAAATAAAATTCTGAAAAAAGGTACAGTATGGTGGCTGATTTGGTACACTTTGCGCGTTGCGTTGTCGATAGCGACAACACAATCTATATTGTTATTGTATTTTCGTCTAGCGAAACGCACCAAACGGCGCATTGTCGCGCACTGTCGTCTTGTCGACTCTAGCATAGCACGCCAAACGGCGCGTTGTCGTGCGACTCATTGTCGCGATGTCGCCCTGTCGCATAAGTTATATGATTTGAGCCTAGAGACAATGTGACATCGCCACAACACGCCGCACGATAACGCGCCGTTTGGCGTGCATCGTGAGCTACAGAACGACAAGACGAAAGTACAAAAGTGTTCCAAATCAGCCACCATATCACAGAATATTTCATAACAAAGGCCCTTAAAATATTTGGCACATATAAACTTATGTTTTGCTTTGAACATTATAGAAGTCCGGCCCATCACACCTCCCGAAGAACGTGAGAAAAGTAAGAAACACACAAAGGTGCCAGAGAGGAAGGTAATTGTTACTGGTGACACAGATCTTCTTTTGAAACATCTTTTTGCTGGCGTCATGGAGGAGAAAAAATCGACACAGAATAGTAATGCAGCTCATTTAAAACGCGGAAGGTAAGCCTATTATTTGATACAAATCAACAAAATGCATTTCCTTATTTACAATCCGAACTTCTCGAAGGGCCGAGCAAATGCGATTGATTGACCATTGTTTCGTGGTATTGTCATAACTAATATCATATATATAGATTCTGTACAATAAGAGAATATAGTGAATATACATCCTTGAAATGTCAAATTCAAAAGTTCACCATTATTTCAGTTTCAATTAAAAAAAGTTGAATCGGCAATTAAACACGAGCTGTACAAACATGCGTCTTATTTTCTGAACAAATTTAAGCGACTTGCTCCGTTATTTAATAATAATCTGGCGAAACATTTAAAGTTCTCGAATAAAATCTGGCCTGTTTGTTACGCATGTTTATAATATAAAATACATGCAAATTTAATTGTGTGTATGTAATATATATATTATGTTAAAGGTGTATATACTATAAACTCAAAGTTACTATACTATAGTAAACAAATCGTCACAAACAATTCAAGTAATTTTCCTTTGTTAATATTTTTGTTCTGTAATAAAGAACACGTAATACGGATGCAACCAGACGACAAACAAATAAATACAAAACATGTTTACCAGTTATGTTCCTCAAGAACCGGATGCCCAAACAAGAACCGCGGCTACATCAAACCTTCCCTCATAGATTTTTTTTTTCATTTATGTCTCTTTACTGACTATTTCTTGTATGTATTTTATTTTTATTTATTTTAATAAACAGGCCGCCGAAAAAAATGATGACCTTACCAAGTAAAACCCAGACAAAGGGACTAATGTCCGGGGAAGATCCTTACCTGATAGATTGTTCACTGTCACAAAAACTGTTCCCCCAGTTGTCGTTAGAGACAAGCACGCGGCAAGGGCATGGAGGGAGCTCATCATTACAACTGATAACGTTACGTGAAGGGGACAAGTCCGTCACATTACCGTCACTTAGTATTGAACAGAATTATTCACAGATGCTGTCAGAGCTAGTTATGAATATCTGACTACCAAATATGTGGTCATTTCAGACAAAGACATTTCGTTCCGAATCACTTCAGACGGTTTAAGAGAAAGTTAAACTAAACTACAAACTTTCTATTTAGAGAAATGTGGTTATGTGAACAAGTTTATGTCGGGTAGATTTCAAGAGAGTGCCGTGTTAATTCATTATATGGAATGTACATGTATATAAGAACAAACTTGTGGTGTTCCGAGTTCTCATATATATTTGTTGTTCCGGAACAGTATAGGCAATACACTATATACGACAGTACAACATATACAAAATACTTTACTATCTGTGATACTTATTTATTTTTCGTTGTTTATATAGTCAGTGATATTGTTGAGGTTGCCATGGAAACAAGTGAACACACATATATATATCTGCAGGGTAGATTTATTGGAGTGATTTTCTCCCCTTACTTTGTTGATAATTTTAATATACTTTTTCCGTCCAATATCAGGTTAAGTTAAATTTGTAAATTATTTATTGAAAATCTTTTTCAAAATATCTGTACTATAACTTTATGGAAAATATAATCATATATACCTCTAACCAAATTCTTTAAAATATTTTTAACAATATAAATGGACATGCTAGTTAGATACTTAATTTATATTCGAGTGTTATCTGTTTTTCCTTGTTATTTCTGTTATATAAGAGCAAATCTGTGATAGATAAATCTTTAATAATGTTGCCATTTTACAAATTTCTGTATAAAATCATATCAAATTATCTTTAATGAGGAATTTATGCGATTGTTCTTAAAGGACATGTACTGCTTAACTTGAAGTTGATAAACATGTAATTTTTATGACATCCTTTAACCACATAATTGAAATAATATGTGTTATAAAGAGGGAAAAGTTAGAATTTAAATAATTTAAATCAATAAAGTTTTATCTCAGTCAATAAACTCTATGTTATCTGACTTCAAGTCAATGTACATATTTACATTGTATTTGAATTGAAGTCAATAAATAAATGCATTTTTATTTGAATTGAAGTCAATAAATACATTCAATTGAATTGAAGTCAATAAACACATTTATTTGAATTAAAGTCAATAAATTTATTTATTTGAATTAAAATCAATAAAGTAATTATTAGCTGAATTCAAGTCAATTCTTAGCAGTTAAAAAAGTGCTGGTCAGTAAAGAAACTAGTATATCAATTCCTGTGGAATTCCTGTTAATAAACAAGTTTCCATCTCAATGCTGATCTACAGGCATATACATTGTAATTATCTAAAATCTAGATATCTGTAGAGTACATATTTTGTAGTGTTTTTCTGTTAATGAAAATTATTAACATGTGATCACTTACATAAACATTTTATATAATTGTTATTAACTTGTACTTGTTATGCAGATGTTCTTGTGTTAAAAAGCAGCATTTGTATCATAGTGTTGAGTCAGATTATAGTTTAGTTACTAATTTATTTTACTAATTTATCAGAATTATTTCTATAGTCTAGAGTGGACAGTTATCTGTACATGTGCTTCTGTTTTGGTTACTAAGAAGCTGTCTTTTTATAGTGCTCACATTTGTTGTATGTTTTTACATTGTTTTTGTTTACCTGTCAGTTTTCTGATCTTGTTTGATGTGAGATATATTTCATATTACATTTATATACATCATTATTTTCGTGGAATTTTACTGTATTTTTGCTGCTACATTTTTATAACCATCTTTACATTTGATTTATCATTTTAACTGTTACAGTGACATAAAGTAATAAGCATTTCTGTCGCAGTGACTAAAAGTTATTATTAGCATCACTGTCACAGTAAATTAAAACAAGCACTTTTGCTACAGTGACTTTAAGCAAGATGAACTTCTTTGACAGTGACAATTAAAACAGCAAGCTTTGTGAAAATGATATGTTTGTAGATTAAGCTGTGCCAGGATTTCCTCTAGTGCTCATATCATTATATTGATCAATATAACTCTAGAATAATGCCTCAGGTAAACTGTCATCAAATAAAGGTATTTCTATAGATTCCTGATGAATAATTAATAGTTAACTGACATAGACACTGGCTTCTATTGAAGCCAGAATAGAGCAATTGCTTTTCTTAATTGAAATACTTTGTTTTGTTATTCTAGGTTAGAGAATTTGTATAATAAGTTATGTGTGTGAAAAAAATCTTACTGCATATTATGGCATTAATTAATTCTTTCTTTGGTCTAAAGTTTGTATCTGTTCTTGGATTATTTTCGATATTTCGCTAAGACAGAACTTTAAACTAAGACAAAATTAAACATTCATAGAAGGTCACATGTAAAACTTTTCTTTTACCAATCAAGGAGAAGTATCCATACAGGCACAGTACTTGTTGTTTTTCCTATGATCTGTTTTTGGGCAGAGAATTCATTAAAACAGCAAGCTTTTTTTATTATCAGAGAGCACAAAGTCATTTAAGTTAACTCAATCATCAAGTAAAGAATTCAGTCTAAATCACATCAATTGGTGATTTTCTTTGAAGATCTATATCTACACAGTCAAAATGTTTTCTTATCTTCCACTCTTCCTTATCAGAAGCCATCATTTATTTTTGTAATGCAATTTCATTTATCAGTTTAAAATAACTAAAAAAGAACCATTATGAAACTTGTTGCTTTTATAAGTTTAATCTTTTTCATTATTATGCCTCAAAAATGCATTTTTTTTATTTCTTTAGGATGTCAAACATGTGTTTCATTATGTTTTAATAATGGTTTAAGAACATGTTAGGTGTTTAACAACTGAAAAAAGTAGCCCTGAATGTGCAGTAATGTGTTATAAAGGTAGCAAAATGTAAACAAAATAGTATTTTGACTTCCATACAAATACTGACTCACTATGATTATATCTACTGCCAGCAGAACAAAGGTTGCAGGAGAGAAATCATGGATATGGCTAATGGAAACTGTAATAAGATATCAAACATTGTTGAATAATAAAATGTATAGGATTTCTGAGGCATAATCGGGCTTTAAGAATTAAGTTACTATCATACACTGTGTGTTATCAATCATCATGCTTCTGAAATGTGTTCAAATCATTGTAATTTAGCATAATGTTTTATATTTTTACCTTCCAACACTCATATTAATCACCTTGATTATATAGACCATTATTTTGTTGATTATTTTTCCTGCGTTTGTTTTGTTTAACTTCACCAACAAATGCTTTATAAAATGGACATGCATTTATTGTTTTTATATTTTACAAGTTTGTATAATTCGCACATTACAGCACCATCAGATTTATGTAAGCTTTAATGAAGATTGACACTGATTGCTAAAATTTTGTCATGTGTACATATTCAGTGATTTAATTATAAAAAATTCCTTTAAAGCAGCACGCCTCCAGATTCATGCTACATGCTAATTTTCATGAAAATTTGAAAATTTATTTAACAGTATAATATTGTAAAGTTACCAAAAGAATGCAATTAACACATTATCAATGGCACTTACAACCCATGTAAATTACTATAAAGAGGTCAAAATATGCAAAAATAGCCCTTACTGCGTTAGTAATGCAGTAGAAATATTGTTATAATTACTGAAAAATTTGGTCATAAAATGCATATAACATGTAAATTTTTACTAGAATTTTGATCTTTATACCTTTCCTAAAATCTTAGTGCATTTTTCTCAGGTTTGATTTTGTCCAAATATTTTTGCTCATCTGGAAGGCTTGCAGCTTTAACTTCCAAACAGAAATTTCTCTTACTTGTAAGTAATAGAGTAGAATTTTGTGGTAAAATATTAAAATCTATCATAGTCATTGAAAGTTTCATTGTAAATATTTAACCATTTCTTTAAGTTAATTTTTTAGCTCACCTGAGCTTGCTCAGGGTGAGCTTTTAGGATCGATGAATGTCCGTCGTCCGTCGTCCGTCCGGCCGTCCACAATTGCTTGTGAACACTCTAGCGGTCGCATTTTTGCCTCAATCATCATCAAACTTGGTCAGGATGCTTATCTAGTTGAAAGCTCGGATGAGTTCGAACATGGGTCATCTCAGATGAAAAACTAGGTCACAAGAGCTAAAAATAGAAAAACCTTGTGAACACTCTAGAGGTCACATTTTTGACCCAATCTTCATCAAACTTGGTCAGGATGTTTGTCTAGGTGATAGCTCGGATGAGTTCGAACATGGGTCATCTCGGATGAAAAAGTAGGTCACAGGAGCTATAAATAGAAAAACCTTGTGAACACTCTAGTGGTCACATTTTTGAACCAATCATCATCAAACTTGGTCAGAATGCTTGTCTAGTCAATTGCTTGGATGAGTTCGAACATGGGTCATCTCTGATGAAAAACTAGGTCACAGGAGCTAAAAATAGAAAAACCTTGTGACCACTCTAGTGGTCACATTTTTGACCCAATCATCATCAAACTTTGTCAGGATGCTTGTTTAGATAATAGCTCGGATGAGTTCGAATATGGGTCATCTCGGATGAAAAACTAGGTCACCGGAGCTATAAATAGAAAAACCTTGTTAACACTCTAGCGGTCACATTTTTGCATCAATCATCATCAAACTTGGTCAGGATGCTTATCTAGTTAATAGCTTGGATGAGTTCGAACATGGGTCATCTCAAATGAAAAACTAGGTCACCGGAGCTAAAAATAGAAAAACCTTGTTAACACTTTAGCGGTCACATTTTTGCATCAATCATCATCAAACTTGATCAAGATGCTTGTCTAGGTAATAACTCGGATGAGTTCGAACATGGGTCATCTCGGATGAAAAACTAGGTCACAGGAGCTAAAAATAGAAAAACCTTGTTAACACTCTAGTGGTCACAATTTTGACTCAATTGTCATCAAACTTGGTCAGGAAACTTGTCTAGGTCATTGCTGGAATAAATCGAACATGGGACATCTCGGATGAAAAACTAGGTCACAGGAGCTAAAAATAGAAAAATCTTGTTAACACTCTAGTGGCTACTGTTGTGATCCAAATATTCTGTTAATTGGTCTGAAAGTTTGTTTTGATGATTTCTAAGTCAAGATCGAACATGGGTCATCTTGGATGAAAAACTAGGTCACACCGCCCAAATATGGAAAAACCTTGTTAACATTCTAGTGGTCACATTTTCGACTCCATTATCATCAAACTTGGTCAGAATGCTTGTCTAGGTAATTGCTTGGATGAGTTCGAAATCGCATGTGAAACTAGGTCACCGGAGCTAAAAATAGAAAAATCTTGTTAACACTCTAGTTGCTACTGTTTTGATCCAAGTATCCTGGAAATTGGTCTGAAAGTTTGTTTTGATGATTTCTAGGTCAAGTTTGAATATGTGTCACCTGGGTAAAAAACTAGGTCGCACTGCTCAAATATGGATAATCCTTGTTAACACTGTAGTGGTCACATTTTTGACTCACCTGTCATGAGACTTGGTCAGAATGCTTGTCTAGGTAATTGTTTGGATGAGTTTGATAATTCAGGTGAGCGATCTAGGGCCATCATGGCCCTCTTGTTTTTCTTAAAGTTGAATTTTGAAATGTTTATATTCATCTAGAAGTGTGTGTTGTTTTAAAGAGATGTGGAATAATAGAGGTGAAATCAACAATGATAAAGAAAAAAAAAATTTTTGGTTAAATTTGTCAGTAATACAATTTATTATAATATATAATAAATCTGAACAAAATAATTACTTTTAGTCTTTAAAGAAATATCTATTATAATTTTACAAAATTTTTACAAATTTGTGGCAATGTGGAACTCCAATATGTGCATTTTCAAGATAACTTTTGTAATTTTGGAACCATTTTTCTGGTGTATTGAAACATGAAGTGCCAGTCAAAAAGTGTCTAGTTGGGGATGAAAATAATTTATTGTTTAAATCTTAACAATCAGATATTCATAATATTTTATTGTGTTAATATTTGTTTAAAATTGATAAATAATAAAAGCCGAAGTAAAGTTTTAAATGACTTAAAGACGTTTTCTGGAGTTTTCATATAGACATAAAGGGAAAATTAAAACTGTTCAATAAAATTTATTTAAACTTGGCATGTTATTAGAATATGATAACAGTAACATTTTAAAATAATTTTTTTTTGGGTCACTGTTCTCATTTTCGAGTTATCTGCCCTTGAATTGGACTTTTTCGTTAAATTCAATGGCAGATTATTTACAATGAAGCAAAAACCATACATTTTTTTTCTTCTTATTTTCATGAAGCTTACCTTCGTCTTAGTCAATATGCAAAATTTCAAGAACAAATTTAGAGTGGATAGTTTTTTTTCCCACTTCTATTCTTAACCTGTGCATTTTTTATTAAAAATTGGCCTATTTTTTATGTATTTAAAGTACCTTTATTCTAATTGAAAAAAAATAACAGAAACAATATAAGGAATTACATGTAATTATGTATTGTATTCAACAATAAAAAGAAAAACATTATCCAGAAGTAAAAACAAGAATTCATTTACATATGTATAAGTTATGTGCCCTTTAAATGACCTCATATAAGTAGAAAATTCTGATTCAGGGGCAGATAACTCAAAAAGGAGAACGGTGACCCCCATTTTTTTTTTCGCCTTAAATGTTTCTGTTATCATATTCTAACAACATGCCAAGTTTAAAGAAATTCTATAGAACAGTTTTAATTTTGCCTATATGTCTTTATGAAAATTCCCGAAAACCCTTTTTCCAGATTTATAATTTTTATTGTGAAAAAAATGACCCAAAAATGAAAAGTGGGTTAAGAATTGCACAAACTATTTTCAAATTTTTAAGTATATTTCTTTATTATATTTTGAAGGTTTTACCATTTTAAGTCACTTAATGAATGTAAGAATTTCAAATTTGTGTTTTTAGCCTTTATTTAACTAAACAGAGATCCTTTAAAAGTAAATATTTAATTGTTGGCAATGAGATCCACGAGACACTGTTTTGTATGAATGTTGATAGAGTTGATTTTATTTTCTTCTTTTATACAGTGGTATATATGTCACATTTTCTCTATAATAAGAGTGGTATATATATATATGTCACATGTTTTCTCTAAATATAGAGTGGTATATATGTCACATGTTTTCTCTATATAGTGGGATATATGTCACATGTTTTCTCTATATATAGAGTGGGCTATAATTATGTCACATGTTTTCTCTAAATATAGAGTGGGATATATGTCTCATGTTTTCTCTAAATATAGAGTGGGATATAATTATGTCACATGTTTTCTCTAAATATAGAGTGGGATATAATTATGTCACATGTTTTCTCTATATATAGAGTGGGATATAATTATGTCACATGTTTTCTCTAAATATAGAGTGGGCTATAATTATGTCACATGTTTTCTCTATATATAGAGTGGGCTATAATTATGTCACATGTTTTCTCTATATATAGAGTGGTATATATGTCACACATTTTCTCTATATATAGAGTGGTATATATATGTTACATGTAATATAGAGTGGTATATATGTCACATGTTTACAGGGTATACTATCAGTATATCATCTACTATTGATTTCATGTTTCTCTAGCATTCTGGGCTCTTTCCCATTAAGCTTGAAATAAAATTCAAAAACTGGAATATCATGTTTTATTTTTGTATCATTATGTCTGTGTTCAAGATATAAACAAGAGATACTACATGACAGTGTGGACAATACATAACTATTCAGTTAACAAAATCCATGGAGAAATTCTAAAATTTCCTTGTGAAAAAAATTACTAAAATCCATTCTAAAGTTACAAGTTTTGGTAAGTGACCTACAAGTATGAATAAGAAGTTAAAGCGAATACATTCAGTGGTTGTAGAAACAGAACTTATAAACAAACCTTACAAGAAATGTCTCAAACTTAAAGCCTTCAGCGTCTTTAGAAATAAAACTTGCATGCAAAACCTTAAAGATGGATACCTTCCAGTGGTTGTATTAATAGAACTTGCATGCAAAACTTTAACAAGAAATTTCGCAAGTAAATACCTTCAGTAGTAATAGAAATCAGAGATGGGGGTAATCAGTTACATTTATTGTAGTAACCTATGATCAATTACTCCAACACAATTAGTTGTATTCAATAAGTAATCTAAATTGGTAACAAGTATTTAGATCATAAAAAGCCATAAAACAGTCAAAATCCATGACTGGATAGTGATCTGCAAGTATCATTCCGAAGACAAGCATCAACATTTTAGTGAATGCCTTCAGTGGGTTTGAAGATTGATGTTGCATCCAAAAATACAACCAACACTTTTCAAAAAGTTAAAAAAGGGCACTAATTCAGTCAAAATTTATCAGAGTTTTGGGTCTTGGAGAGGACATCCAATTAAGGTCAAGAAGGTCATGTATTAAGTCTCAAGGTGAAAGCTTTAAGTAGTTTTAAAGATTGATGTATATTCAAGCTTTAATCAGGAAGAGCTACCAGAATAAGAGGAGCTCTTCCGGAATGTTAGTTTGGTCACCATCGCTTTTCAGAAGCTCTTCTATCTTTTCCACCCGATAGACGAGGTAAAGGTCACATGATCAAACAGTATTGCTGACTAGGAATTGTGAGTAAAATAAAACATTTTAATACTGCAATTGATTACACTTTTACTTTCTTCTGATTAAGAAAATAAATACTTTTTCACAAATCAAGCAGGAAGTTAATTTATTATTAAGGTAGAAATAGTCAGACTAGACGTCATTTTAATGACTGCCGAATGTTCGATTGGCCTTCTTTTCAGAGATCTTCTAACTTGCCAATTTTCTACCTGGAAGAGCCAAATCGAACCAGCCTGAAGACATGTGTGAAGATACAAGCAAAAATCTTTATTTTTTTTTGTAACAGATACAATGTTGTACAAGAAGTTGCCTGTAAAACTTTAACCAAAGTGTTACATTGATGTACGATAGCCATTTCTTTGTATTGTCCATCTTTCAAAAACAAGAGATTATCCAAACTATTCCATATCATTTTTAGAAGCAAAGTTGAAGGTTGAGAACTTACAATAATAAATCTTATTGTAAAATACTGTATCACACCTTTCTCATTTTACGAGTACATATAAGGATGCAGACACAGGCCTGAGTAAATGGTCCTATATTGCCAATAAAAATATAACACAAATGTAGTTTCACAATTATCATTATTACACAATTTTACTATTTAACAATATTACAAACACAATTTGTCAGTTTTAATAATACTGGCAGGATAATTTCAATATATTTGCACAAAAAGTAAAGTTTGTAAGTTACAATACAACATTATGATTGTCACAGTCTCGTCTTTGGTAAATATATAGTTAATATTTGACCTCTAAACAGCCTGTTAACTATTGGTTTTATACTGAATTCTTTGATCTTCTGCTCATCCTCCTTTTATTCTTAACCTTCAATTAATACAAGTTAATAAACAACAATTAAAGATAACATTACATAATCCATGAGAGAGTTAACTTTTGATTTAATTTTCTTAAAGATGTATATACGGAAATTCAAGTTTGCAGCTAAATTGTACATGTAACTTAGAGCTGCTAGTTTATATCAACTACTTTGGTATAAATATACATATACAGTATCACAATATTTAAACACTATAATATAAAATATATAACTAGAAAACATAACTTAACATATAGAATTATATACAGCAAGTAAAACCAAATAATTACAACAAAGAATAGCATACAGATAATACATGCATAGAATTTTTTACAGAAAATACGTCTGGCCCCATAGGATTTCTTGTCAGGAACCAAAGATAAGATAACAATGAAATTTTTCAGTCAATCACGGTGCATACCACCTTTTATCAGTAGAATGAGCATTTACTAGATTGGTGTATGTTGCCTACATGTTTTCAGCAGAGAATAGCTTGTGCATGAGCAGAGTACTGTTTTAGTAGATTTTGCAAAACAGGGTACCCATAGTGTCAATCGAATTCCATCTTTTATGTGACTTGCAAGTTGCCAAGTTACCATCTTCAGGCTCAGAACTGGACACTGCCGTCTACGAAAGCATATGAAAAGACTTGGTCTCGCCGATACAGCTTCATGCCAGTGTGGAGCAGAAGAACAGACGCCCTTCCACATCCTGCAGAACTGCCCTAACCTGGAAGAGGCCCGCCAGACGTATTGGCCTACAGATACAGCGTACAACAACAAGCTATGGGGCAGCAAAGAGGACCTTAGAAGAACGGTGCAGTTCATCACTGCATCGGGACTTCAAGTGTAAAGGCCGTACAGAAGATGGAACGCATAAATAAATAAATAAAATGTGACTTGCAGAGGTCATTCATCACACCTTTTTCACTGGTCATTTCAAATTTGATTCATTAAGTGTCAGTGCTATTTGTATAAGGTGAAATATTAAACTTGCATATAAAGAATGATTTGTTATAAAGGAACATCCATAAATGTGGTTGACATGTTATGTAATTCAATCCTTCATTGACTGTTCCATGACAAACTTAGTAGCTCAAAGTTGAAGAAGCTAGCTGAAAATATCCAACTTAACAATTCATAAAGTATATAAAAGGAATATTACCGAAGACAATTATTGACAAGACAGTGTCATGATCTTCTCTATTTTTTAGTTAAATGCTATGTTGATGCTATTGTAGAATTTATAAAATATTAAACTTGCTGAAAATTAACAGTTAAATTCACTTTCTTTCAAAGGGCATAAAGGGGAGTGTTTATTTTACATTAACCTTTAATTGTCCATTGGCAAATGTGACCAATCCATAATTAACCTGCCCATCCCCCACAAAAAATTACAGAAATACCATCACATGAAGATCTAAATTAAAAGTTTGCTATGATGGCATTTAACTTGCTCATGTGAACACATAAGCATCTTCATGAAAGTTAATCAAAGTAGAGAAAATTGTCTTGTCAAAACATTTCAAATCTGCCCTAAATCAATAAACCATTTCTAACAACTTATTAAAATACGAAAACGTTTAATCTAAACAATATATACAATTTGTAACTATTATATTTGACAAAATTAATTCCTACATTCAACAATAGTGAAAATGAACATGCATAAATAGAAACAAATAACAAGATACACAGTTAAAATTTTAACAATCAAATTATATTCTGGTTTTGCCATTTGAACTAAATCTATAAAGAAGTATAAAAACTACATGATATATGAATATGATCAAAATTTACATCTATAAGAATAATCTCAACAAAGTTGTAGTAATACTTCAATGATAGAATGAAAGACTTTCTTGGCAACCATACAGAAGTTCTCTTATCAGCCTGGCTGCATTAAATAAAATAAAACTACAAGGGACATCAGCTGCTAACAACAATTAAGTCCTATCAGAAGAAAATAAAAGATCATATAATGCTGGCAAACATGTGATTATAAATCAACAATTGTATATACCTTTATCTCAATTTGTCTCTGAAAACAGTTTGTTGACTCAAACTTGAGAGACAGGACTTCTAACAATACTATACAATATAAAGAATTGTTGTAGAGAATTCTACATTTCTTTTAAGTTTAACTTAGTTAGTCCTTAAAAGCAGCTTACTTATATAAACATACAAATGTACTTGCCATTACCTAAAAATCAGTAATATATTTTAATCATCTTCCAAATGAGAAAGAGAGTTTTATTGTTGGATCTAATATTTCCTGTAACTTGAGGAAAAAGCAATTTTGCAAGAAATGATTTTCATCTAACGATTATGATAATGGCACATATTGAAATAATAATGTACACAGATATTATATTGAGCAGTGAGAAAGAATCATATATCTACATTACTAAACCAGTCATCTAATACAATGATACTTAAAATGAGAAAGCTTTGAGCACTATTGATGGTGAACACATTTTCTAGAAGTTGAACACAAAGCTCAAATGAGTAACCTAAATTTCTGAATGTCTGGATTTCTTTGTAAGTTTTATGATCAAAATAAATTGCCTGAGTCCAAAGTAATATATTCTCTTGCTTTCATGAAATATGCCATGAAAGAGCTTGATCCCAGTTATGTCAGATGCAGAAACACACTAAATGTTTATGGATATTAATTTTGACATGTTTTATTAATCAATGTCAATAAGTGTTTAAATGACATTTGTCATGGTGTTTAATTGATCTATGTCAATAAGTGTTTAAATGACATTTGTCATGGTGTTTAATTGATCTATGTCAATAAGTGTTTAAATGACATTTGTCATGGTGTTTAATTGATCTATATCAATACGTGTTTAAATCACATTTGTCATGGTGTTTAATTGATCTATGTCAATAAGTGTTTAAATGACATTTGTCATGGTGTTTAATTGATCTATATCAATATGTGTTTAAATGACATTTGTCATGGTGTTTAATTGATCCATGCCAATAAGTGTTTAAATGACATTTGTCATGGTGTTTAATTGATCTATATCAATAAGTGTTTAAATGACATTTGTCATGGTGTTTAATTGATCTATATCAATAAGTGTTTAAATGACATTTGTCATGGTGTTTAATTGATCTATATCAATAAGTGTTTAAATGACATTTGTCATGGTGTTTAATTGATCTATATCAATATGTGTTTAAATGACATTTGTCATGGTGTTTAATTGATCTATGTCAATAAGTGTTTAAATGACATTTGTCATGGTGTTTAATTGATCTATGTCAATAAGTGTTTAAATGACATTTGTCATGGTGTTTAATTGATCTATATCAATGTGTTTAAATGACAATGCCATGGTGTTTAATTGATCCATGCCAATAAGTGTTTAAATGACATTTGTCATGGTGTTTAAATGTATAAAGTATTAAATGTTTTAATGACATTTGTCATGGTTTTATTGAATTACTTAATAAATGTTGAAATGTCATTTGTCACACTGTTTTTGTAGATCTCTGTCATAAAGCTGCTTGCTCAATCGCTTTATCAAGTTCTTTAATTTGTTCCGGGATATCATCATTATCAAGCATGATGGGAGCAGATGTTCTTTTCTGTTTTGGAGAATCAAGTTCTGCCTCTAGTGACATCTTAGAAGTCATCATTTCCTCCTTTACTTTCTTACCAAATGCTCGACCTAGTGAACCCTGATAATAAAAATATATACTGTTATGTTAAGGACATTAAACTATATAAACAAATGTGCAGTAATCTTAATTTCAAAGTATGATGGTAAACTTCTCAAACTTGTTCTACAAAAATACACATCTTGCAAATTAAGGTAATAGACCTAGAAGTTTCATTATTAAATAAAGAGCAGATTTAATTGGAATTTAAACAGTCTGATTGTCATGCATTTTGACACATTATTAAGAGTATATAAAGAAGCTTTTTGTTATGTTTACAAAAAGACTGATTGCTATGGTTTTGTTATATTAAGAACTTGAAATGTGTCTACAGGACACTTATGGCATCATTTTATTTGCTGTCATATTACACACTTATGCATACTTGCCAGAATATTTTTCATGGTTATTAAGATCAATTAGCAAACTGTTTCTAAAATGTACATAATTGCAAACAACCAAGATTACAACTAGCAAAGCCATATTGACCTTGAAATCAATGTCCCTACCTAGCTTAACAAATAAACTTACTCTGAGACTGATTCTAGATTTAGAGTGACTAGTAGAGATACTGCTGTGACGTGAAGACCTCCCTAATGTTCCTCTCTTCAATACAATTTGTTCCCTGTAACAATACAAATATAATCAGGTACATATAACAATGCCTTCAGATATATATAACATTGTCTTTACATATATATAACATTGCCTTTACATATATATAACAATGCCTTCAGGTATATATAACAATGCCTTCAGGTAGATATAACATTACCTTTACATATATATAACCATATATAACCATATATATAACAATGCCTTCAGGTATATATTACATTGCCTTTACATTTATATAACCATGCCTTCAAGTTTTTATAACATGTCTTACGGTATGTATAAAAGTGCCTTCAAGTATATATAACAATATCTTACGGTATGTATAACATTGCCTTCAGGTCTAACTACATTCCCTTACATATATATAACAGAGCTATAAGTTGACTAGATGAAGTGGAATTAAAGGAGAATGAATACCTTGCTGGTTTGACTAGTGCCTCTAGTTCAGTCTGTAGATGACGACGTATATAGAGTTTAGAGGGAGGTATATGTAGACATGAGGCAAGAGAATCCGCTGTAAACGTCGGCTCTAATACAATCAATGCACCATGTACACCTGACTGTTTTAAATTGTCGGCAAACTCCTGTAATCAGTTATACAAAATATAGAACATTTAACAATTAACATCATTTAGGTATAATTACAATCTTACATTTACATAACCATGCTTTAAAAGTTACTGTATATGTATTGTCCCGTAACATTTAAATTTTTGCTTATATTTTGTCAAACAAGATCTTCTTGTTAAAAGGATGATGTTTCTTACAAGTATTGACAATAAGTCACAACAAGTTAAAAATAAAAAAATATAGCTTTTCCTTTTTATCCTTGTGCAACAACAAGAGAGATTTGTTTTTGTTTTTATCAAAAGTATGTATTTAAATTCAGAATTACTACAGCTAGATGGCAGACTTTTCTATCATAACTACTCACTTCTAAGTCTATATTCTGTATCCATTCTATAACCCGTTGTGATGTCCATACAAGAGGGTCAGTAAATGTTTTATCACAGTCAAATCTTCTTTGAGCTAACACCTGAAATACACAAAAGATATAACCTGAATTACACAAATGGTAATGTCTAAATTGCACAAACAATATAATACCTGAACTATAGAAAATGTTAAACCTGAATTACACAAAAAGGTAACAGCTGATATACATGTACATAAAAGATAATACCTTAATTGCACAAAAAGGTAACACCTGACTTACACAAAAGAAAGAAACCTGAATTACACAAAGGGTAATGTCTGATTTACACAAAAGGTTTAAACCTCATTTAAACAAAAAGTAGTATCTGAATAACACAAAAGGTTTACACCTGACCTCTTTATCAAATCCAAGTTTCCGTAATAATTGCACAGCATGAAGTATACTAGACTGGTGAAATTTCCTGTGTACGTCCAAATGTTTTTCCATATCTTTACGAGTCAAGTTGTTAAGCATTCGCCCATCTACAAGATTACTCTCAAATATTGGAGAAAATTGTGGCAATCCAATATCATGAAGCCACTTATGTGCCACCCAAGTATGATCCAACATTGAGCACTTTGGGCAACTTCTACAAATAAAAAACTTTTTACATAACAAATAGTTTTTTTCAAAAGACATACCATACATGTATATAACATCTAACATTTTATATGATACATAAAGTTTTGACAGAAACAATATCATTTTAATTAGCTTTGAATTATTAACTATGTTTGCCTGAATAAAGTGAGTTCTTGTATACACATAAGTTAGTTTAGCATAATGTATAACAGTAAAGTACGGCTTACCCAATAACTAAATTTCTCTGCTCCTCTATAGCAAGGCGGAGTTTCTTCTTGTGTAGTGGGTGTTTAATTTCAAGAGCAGAAGCCAGGTCGTTATCACTCATACCAAGCAGCACCTATAAACACATAACCTCATAGATTTATCATACCACTAGTTACACATATAAACACATAACCTCATAGATTTATCATACCACTAGTTACACATAACCTCATAGATTTATCATACCACTAGTTACACATATAAACACATAACCTCATAGATTTATCATACCACTAGTTACTACACATAACCTCATAGATTTATCATACCACTAGTTACACATATAAACACATAACCTCATAGATTTATCATACCACTAGTTACACATATAAACACATAACCTCATAGATTTATCATGCCACTAGTTACACATATAAACACATAACTTCATAGATTTATCATGCCACTAGTTACACATATAAACACATAACCACTAGTTACACATATAAACACATAACCTCATAGATTTATCATACCACTAGTTATACATAAAAATAATTTGCCTCATAGATTAATCATATCTAGAGTATAACTTTTCAACACATAACCTCATAGATTTATCATACCACTAGTTACACATATAAACACATAACCTCATAGATTTATCATACCACTAGTTACACATAAAAATAATTTGCCTCATAGATTAATCATATCTAGAGTATAACTTTTCAACACATAACCTCATAGATTTATCATACCACTAGTTACACATATAAACACATAACCTCATAGATTTATCATACCACTAGTTACACATGTAAACACATAACCTCATATATTTATCATACCACTAGTTACACATATAAACACATAACCTAATATATCTATCATGCCACTAGTTACACATATAAACACATAACCTCATAGATTTATCATACCACTAGTTGCACATATAAACACATAACCTCATAGATTTATCATACCACTAGTTACACATATAAATAATTTGCCTCATAGATAAATCATATCTAGAGTATCACCTTTCAACACATAACCTCATAGATTTATCATACCACTAGTTACACATATAAATAATTTGCCTCATAGATTAATAATATCTAGAGTATCACCTATAAACACATAACCTCATATTTTTTGTACTTTAAGTAGCATCCATCAACACTTAACCTCATACATTTTCTTTTACCTCAATTAAAGCATTAAAATTCAAGCCAAGTTTTAAAAAGTAGCAAAAAAATATTCTCATAATAATACTAAATAAAATTTCAAGCCTAACTTTTAAGTGTACACCAACAAGCATGTTAGAACAATCTCTTTTGGGTAATAAAGGGTTTCCTTTAAAGTGTTGTTTGAATTTTCCACCGTAGTTCGGGGTTAAGTACAGTGGGCGGAACGTATTTAATTATTTTAAAAAACTGATAACTAAAAGGCACCGAGAAACAATATCAAATGTACTTGTTGGTACTGAAATATAGTAGTCATTACACCATTGTATAACATTTTTTACAGTTATATTTGAAGGTTATATACATTTTATTTGAACATGTTCATACAAAAGGACCAAAATAGACTGTGGTCTATAAAGTCAAAAGTTTATTGTATATAGTTTTACAGTGAAAATGAATACAACAAAATTACTCATCAAAGTGAAATCATATCCTGAATTTTCAAAAACAAAACAGGAATGGACAGCAAAAGTTAAGAATATAAAAAGTGGAGGTCTAAATAAATTTTTATTGAACTACCATCTGTTTCTTCACAAGACATGGCTAAAGAACGGCGTGTTTTCCCGCGGGAGAAGACCTTAGACAGTGATCCAAGACTGATTCTCTTTTTCTTCCTCTGTTCCAATGATGTATCTAAAATGTCTTCTGTTTTATTACTGTCCATCAAATCATTGTTGTTATCAAGGAAGGTGTTCAGGGGCGTGAATGAATTGTCCCGATCATGTTTGTTGGCAATCTTTGGTGTACTTGTTGGTACTGAAATATAGTAGTCATTACACCTTTGTATAACATTTTTTACAGTTATATTTGAAGGTTATATACATATTATTTGAACATGTTCATACAAAAGGACCAAAATAGACTGTGGTCATAAAGGCAATATGCCATGATAAAAATATCTATTTACAAACTAACCCACAATTAAGACAACTTGGTACAGATGTAGGTCTTAATAGATGGTTTTATTGTATAGACATTAATCTATAGTACAATATAGCTTCTATAGCTTTTATTAGTTTTTCACCAATGCATTACTCATTCTATAATATACAAGGTCAGTTACCATGGAAACATTCCTCTTTAGAACTATCATTGGCTGATGGTGGTGGTGTATCAAATGGTGGTAGATCATCACTTGTTGGTGTGTGAGAGTCCAAACTCTTTGGTGTACTTGGTAGATCCAGCGTATACAACCGACTCTGTGCAATCTGCTCACGTAGCTAGAAATAAACAATCACATTTGGTTACCTAAATATATTAACTGTACTATAAATATACAATGTATGTCAAAACTGAAATAAAAGTTTAGAGTTCACAGTTTATTGAAATAATGATAAATTCACCAATAATCACCTCTATCAACTCTGTTTCTAATTTGTGTATATGTTTTTCCCTTTCTTCAGAATGTGTCTGTAGGAATACTGCTTGCTCAGCTGCGTGACGAGCCTTCTGTATTATATCCCATTTCTCACGATCACAATGTTCCTTCTCTACACATAACTGAAATTATCACAATATCTTTACCTTAATGCATTATCTAATGTAATTCTGAACTTTAATAAGTGCATGTAGTGAAAACATCAGATTCTTCCAACAATAACAATCATAATGATGCATCTTAAGTTTCAAAGATAAACTATAACATAAACCTATTTAACTGATGAAAGTTATCTAGTTATAGAATTGCCTAGTTACATGATGAAATTTACCTTGTTACCTGACTACTTTATGGAAATTACCTTGTTACATGATGGAAGTTACCTTGTAACATGATGGAAGTTACCTTAGTTTATTATGGAAGTTACCTCACTATATTTTGGAAGTTCCTTCTTGCATTATGGACGTTACCTTGTTACACATGATTGAACCAAGTTACCTATGTACATAATGAAATTAACCCGATACAAGATGGAAGTTACCTGTTTAATTGTATCATCACTTTCTCTCATTCTCTGCTCATAATTACGTATGAAGTCACGAAGTTCTGCTTCCTTATCCTCTAATGTTCCATATAATTGTTTCATCTGATTCAGTAACTCCAATTTCTCCCCTTTTAACCGCTTTCTGTCAGCTTTAAGTGCTACAAAATGTAAAGGGAAGTAACTTTTGTAGAAGTATTTTGATTAAAAAAAATATTACCTCCCTTTAACCAATGATTACAACAACTCAGGCATGCATCAAATTCATCTAAATCCTATCTTTTGATCTTGGAGAATAACAATAATTTGCCCACTTTATATTTCATTTAGATTTTTCTAATTAAATGTTTATACAAATGTACATAACTGACATGTAAATAAAACAAACATATAATAATTTGGTAGATTTTTATAATTACTGAATCTATGCAAGTACAGTTTCAGATTATCTTCCATAATTAGTTAATAAAATATCACAAATTAATGGTGTCAAAAATGATAGAGATATTAAACTATATATAAAAATCTTTACATCATAATATTTTATAACATTCTCATACAATATCACTTAGCAGGCCAAAACACTGTACCACTACTACATGTGTAATACTCAAACTTAGTAAGGATCATTTTTTTCATTTAATCACAATTCAAAAATCAGATAGTTATCAAAGATAAACCCATAATAAAACTGTAGACCAGATGGTGATTTGATGTGTACACTATGCACATGAAGCCCAAGATAAAACATACACATACAAACTGACTTCACATGGCCTGATACCTACATGAACATTTTTACATTTAGCAAAGTTTCACTTACTTTATTGTCAATATTTGACTCAATATAAGTATGGCAGATCAACAATGATAAAAAATTATCTAAGAGAGGATGAGATAAATAAGGGGAATTGGAATGCTTCAAATGTATTGCATTTGCAGGCCCGAGGTCTAGAATGCTTAACCACTGAAGCTTATGACCGAATTCTTAACAATGAAGCTAGGTGCTACTGATTCCGTAACACAACAATGTTACGTGGCAACTTGATGAAATCAGTTGCATGAAGCAGGGTTAAGCTGCCTGAAATGGTATGGGTGGGGATTAGGGCTTAGGGAAAAACAGATCTACATGTCGTAGAAACAGCACACTGGCGTCTGAAAGATACTGAAGTGTAATTTTGGATCTTTATGTATGACCATAAAAAAATTATGCAGGTGCTGTAGGTGATAATAATGCCTGTGCACACATGACAACTTCCTAGTGATCATTATAGCTCACTTTTTTCTTAAAAACAAACAAATTTATATCCTGCAGACATTACCACTAAGACACTAAGACCTGTACACACTGCCACTAAGATAACATATAAGCTGTACACATTACCACAATGATAATATATAACCAGTAAACATTACCACTATAATTATATATAACCATACACATTGACATAATATACTTATACATAACCTGTATAAATTACCTGCTAAAGCTTCTTTTGCTCTGTTTAGATCTTGTTTAGTTTGTATTAAGTCAAGTTTCAGTTCCCCATAGCTAGGGTGGTCACTGTTGACCACCTTTAAACTGCGCAACTCACTTATCTCTCTAGTCAATTTTCGAACATTATTTTCCAACCTCTGATTCTCTTCTTTTAATCTTTTCAACTCATTTTCTTCATCTGCTTTTTGACGAGAATTATCTAAAGAAAGAAATTCACCTTTTAATTCATGATGAAGGTATCAATTCTTATATAAAACATTAAAGCAGCATGCATAAAGATTTCTTCAAATTTATAGAAGCAATACATTTGTTATGTGCCAATGTATTTTTCTAGATACTTTGTTCCCTCAAATCGAGGTTAGCAGCCTGAATTTAACTGGAAATGGCTGGAACAAAAAGTAATTGGCCTTTGCCACATCCCTGTAGTCTGACCAGGCTCTAATCTTGGCTTAAATAATGAAATCCTCAGAGTTTTAATGGAGAAGGTCAAATTCATTTCAAAAATTGAGCAGGATAAAGGGTAAAATTCTATATCTAATAAAATTTTTAATAGAATTTAATGTAGCTTTTTACATTAAAAAGTTAAAGTGAATTGGTCTATAATGGAAAGCCTGTAATACAATAAATAAATATGTAGATAGTATTTTGTATCAGACATAACAACAAACTAATATTTTATAAAAAATATCCAAATGATACATTTCTATTGTTTTTATCTTTGAAATATGTGTGGAAAACCTGTCCATTGTAGACCAATCCACTTAAAATACAGTATGTTGTGACTGTTGTCTATGCTATATGCATATAACTAATTGGGATTATAACAAAAACAACAACAATGTATGTATACAACAGTGAAGTCTGACCACTTAATGGATCTTCTGACTTGTAATAAATGACCTGTAAGCTAACATATGGCTAAAACATAACTTGTACCATTATTAATGGTTCTTACAGATAATTTCTGACAGTAGACTGCAATTATTTCAATTATAGCCCTAGTATAATCATAATATTTATTGACGTCTCACATCTACTATCTTAAATAATCAGATTAAGAAAATTAATACAGACTGTTCAATAAAACATTCTATTAATATAGCAGGTAAAATAAAAGATGAGAAAATCCTTGAAACAGGTGTATTATTTCAAAAATAAATTGAAACTATTGTGTAGGGTTAACTGGTTAAACTTTTGCACTGCTATTGTGTAGTGTGAAAAACAAGAATCTTTATGTTTTGTTAAACTGCTGTAGAGTGAACAGACAAGAATTTTTGTAATATTGATTATATACATTGATAAATATGTATAGTTAACTTTTTGCAATACCATATATTGTATAAAGTGAACAGAAAAGAATACAATTATACTTTGCAATACCACTGTATAGAGTAAACAGAAAAGAATATATACTTTGCAATACCATTGAATAAGTGAACAGAAAAGAATATATAATTTGCAAAAACCATTGAATAAGTGTACAGAAAAGAATATACACTTTGCAATACCATTGAATAAGTGAACAGAAAAAAATACATATTTTGCAATACCATTGGATAAGTGAACAGAGAAGAATATATACTTTTGCAATACCATTGAATAAGTGAACAGAAAAGAATATTATTTTGCAATACCATTGTATAAGTGAACAGAAAAGAATATTACTTTGCAATACCATTGTATAAGAAAACAGTAAAGAATTATAATTAAACTTTGTAATACCATTGTATAAAGTGAAAACAGAAATGAATATACTGTATACTTTGCATTGTATCAAGTGAACAGCAAATAATATATACTTTAAAATACCATAGTATAGAGAGAACAGAAGAAAAAAATATAGTTAACTTTTGCAATATCATTGTGCAGAGATGATGTAAAGACAATTCAATTCTATATAAAGACCATTGATGAAAACCTTACAGAAATGAAATCATAAAATGTCTTATTATTATCATCTAAGATTTGACAAAAGTCATAGAAACTATGAACTAAACATACAACGCATTACAAAACTTACACTGCAATTCCACATTCTCTACATGTACTCCATTTTCTATTTTTGTTGACTGATTTTCACTTAGTTCAGACAAACGTTTATTTGTATCTTCAAGTTCTGCTCGTAATGCGCTAACTTCTTGGTTAGCAGCACTGATAGATCCATCAATTTTTGTTGCTAGTTGTTTATTATCTTCAACCATTGTTCTAAACTTGGCTTGAGCGTCATTTAATAACCTCCGGATTAACACCATAGAAGAATGAAGTGTTTCCTGTTCCTTTGGTCCTAGATCTTTGTCATTTTCTATATGTTCCCTGCTTGTACTAACATCCCCACCGTGAAATATAAACTGTACTATCTGGTCATTTAGTGTGTCCAGTGACTGTATTGCTGCAAGTATAAATACATAGATACATTATAACAATAAGCTTTTACTCAACACATAAATTACTGCTAACCTGATTTTATATTCCATCAAATAAATTTTAAAACAAAAAACAAAAACAAAAGAAATCCCATTAACAAATAAATGAGCAATATTAAATATGAAATTTAATTTAATTACTGGTATATCTTTTTAATTTAGTGCAAAATTTCTTTTCATTTATTTTCCATTTGGAACTCGTATGTAGTATTGTTGTATGCAACAAAAAAATGAAGATATCTGTTTACAAAAGTTAGTTAAAAAATAATTATAGTCTTTTCATTAAACAGAACTAAATAACACTAAATAACCTCTGTATTTTAACTTCTAAAATTACAATAAAACCTTGCCAAAAAACGTTTTAAACAGAGCCCAATTCTACAGGAAATCAGTCATGTAAAACATTTTCCTACATTTCAGTAATTCTACATTATAAAATCCAGATAAACACACCTCTTAAGTGAGCAACTACTAAAAAACTTTCTTCCTTATTCCACATGTACAATCCAGTTGTTTATAAGTTAGTAAACATACAAGTGTGTATTAAACTTGTTGAGAAGCGACTCTGATTTTTCACATGTAACTTGGTACATGTTTGTTTCTATGTGGAGAAACTTCAGTAGCAGTTTGATTAGTGTTAGAGATAAAAACTATTTAATCTTGATAAAATACCTCAACATTCATGCAGCCACTGGCAGACGCAAAATAATCCAATAAATTACCTCAAGCACTTATCAAAAGAGAATGACGTAAAAAAAATAAGTTACGTTTTACACGAAATGGGAATCTACTTAGTCAGGCAATTATAGAAAAGGGTAGACTTGTAATAGAAATTATTACAGGTGTTATAATTGTAGAATCTGGGTGAGAACAACTTAAAATGGCAAATAAAAGATAGTAAAGTATTGTAATACAGTTTCTAGCTAGCAAGTTATATAAAATGCCTGGTAGTTGTTGGCAAGTTAAAGTTTGATTATTTAGATATAGTTAGGCAACATGCTGACTAACTAGTCAGTTATGGAACTGACAAGTTATGGAATTGTATGGAACTAGTCTCTAGATATATTCTTTATCTACAGTCTATATCCAGACTTTTCTTAAACATAAATGTTTATCAAGATTTCAGTTATCTCTAGAGTTGCCCATGCTCATGTTTATACCATCAAACATTTTTCATCAGTGAATCATTTTTTAGTTTTACACTGAGTACATATAAAAGAGAGCCAGAAATATACTTTAAGACATTCATTTAATTACAGGCTGTTCAAACATATTTATTTCAACAACAATTCTGACTGAATCATCAATGGGACATTACAGGTCATTACTGATAATTAAATATTTACTGTTTAAAATAATTACTATTTACTGAATTTCAATACCACAGAATTAAATATTAATTCAAAACAGATTTATCATAATCATTTTGGTAAGAACTTTATGTCTGATTGTCTTGGGAGTGATAAGTAAGTTTCCTGCACTAACAATGGATGCTGGACAGTATATGTGATCACAACTGCACACCTTGATCTGGTGAGCTAAAAATATATACTTTAAAATATTTCCATCAATAATAAAACATTGTCTATATTCCCTAATGATTGTGTACATATGGTAACATAAATAATTCACCAACATCTCCTGCCAATATACTTGCATGTTTAATGTCTGTATTGTCAGAAACTCTCAGTACATGCATTCATGATGATTTTTCAGGCCAAAGAATTGACTTCCTTTGAAATACACAAGAACTGAATAAAAGTAGGATTTTCAATGGTCATTTTCTTCTTATAACACCAAAAGAAATCTTTTACTATTTCCCTGTTATTAAAAAGTGCCAACATCTGTGGTTGCATGGTTATTACCTTGCCATGTAGTGTTGTGGTTAAAATATTAATTTGATAATATGAAAAAAAACATGAACAATGTTTTTTCAAAATATAACAAACCACAGATCACTAAAATTAAAGTACTCAATGCTCAAACATATGTCTAGGGTTAAAAAAATCTGCACTATAAGCTCAGTAATAATGTAAGGTATGATTGATCTTAAAAGCGGCCTCTGTAGGACTTGTTTCAGTAATTTTATCATGGAAAAGCGCATCATATGACTGTTAAGCCTTCCATGAGAAATTATAACACGTCAGTGACATTGGTTTCTAAATATAGAAGATAAGAGGCATTGAGGGGTTTCCTTATTGTTTATGTATTTTATCATTGGCAAATTTCATTATTTCCCCCTTAATTCTTTTGATTTGACAATTTATTATATGATTTATCTAAAAATAATATATTTAACCTTTAGAAAAGCTGAAGGCCTCTTTAATGGACCTGTATTATTATATATACATGTAACAACCTTTTCTGATTTAGAAAATCATGCAAATCAATTAACTAGGTTTAAGAATCCCCTTTCAAAATATATTTTATTTAGTTCTGTCCATTGTTTCTCATTTAGGGCACACACATTCTTTTACTTAAGGACCATACACAGCTTGTCATGGAATGGGGCATACAATTGTCACATTGAAGGTTCCATGATAACCACCATATGAACACATTTCCTGATGTTTCAAAATTTAAAATTCTAATTTTACCATTTCATGTTATTGCCACATGAGTGTTGTTTGTGCCATGTGAAGGCCGTAAAAAGTCGCCCCTTAAATACAATTACAGATGTTATATTTCCGATCCTTGAAGATCTGCTGATGTTTCTAAATTCAAAATTTTACCATTTTTCATATTACATCCTTTTTAAGCAAGACCACAAGATGAGATACATGCCAAATATCTAAGATCTCGGCATTGTAGTTTCTGAGAAGTTCAGCAAAATAATTCTAAATTGATTAAATTGTCTACTTATGACTAATGACTACTTATGACATTCCAATCCTATTTTTATAAAGATTCTAAGTACTTTAACTTTCAATATCAAAATGAACAAAATATACTCACAAGTTATGTATTTCCCACACTGCAACTTAGGATATCAGAAGAATTAATATTCCTTTGTATGACTATAATATCAGAGCATTGATGTCACTGTGAACCCTTTCTAGCAACATTGAAATTGTGTGAACTATGACCACAGGTACCCCCATGTGAAGTATGGCTAAAATTATCCCTGTAGCCATATCCAGCACTTGGTTATTTTCTACAATTTAACCATTTGACCAATTATGGACAATAAATCTACTTAATGCTTGCGGTCACAACTGGTCAAGGATAGTGAAAAGTTACGGTGTTAATTCATACAATGTCCTAACAGTCAATTCAGCGTATAATTCTTTAATTCTGTAATTTGTTTAGAAGTAAATTATGTGGATTTCTATTGTGTACAGGTTGAAGGGATCAAAAAGTCTTATTAAATAAAAATATTTACATAACAGTTTGAAGTAGTGTGAAGTAATGTGATTGGAAAACTACTGAGAGAAGAAACCCCAAATCATAAATATGGTAAAATATAGCTAAATAAATAATAAATACGGCAAAATTGTCAGATCATAAAATTTATATTGTAATACAGCCAGATCATAAATTTATATGGTAAAAAAGCCAGATATAGTAAATGTAAAACAGCCAGATAACAAATATGATGGTAAAACAGCCAGATCAGAAATATGATAAAACAGCCAGATCATAACTATGGTAAAACAGCCAAAATACAGTAAAACAGCCAGATCAGAAAAACAGCCAGATCAGAAATAAGGTAAAACAGTCACATCATAAATATGGTAAACCAGCCAGAACAGAAATATGGTAAAACAGCCAGATAACAAATATGGTAAAACAGCCAGATCAGAAATATGGTAAAACAGCCAGATCAGAAATGTGGTAAAACAGCCAGATCAGAAATGTGGTAAAACAGCCTGATCAGAAATGTGGTAAAACAGCCAGATCAGAAATGTGGTAAAACAGCCAGATCAGAAATATGGTAAAACAGCCAGATCAGAAATATGGTAAACCAGCCAGATAACAAATATGGTAAAACAGCCAGATCAGAAATATGGTAAAACAGCCAGATCAGAAATGTGGTAAAACAGCCAGATCAGAAATGTGGTAAAACAGCCAGATCAGAAATATGGTAAACCAACCAGATAACAAATATGGTAAAACAGCCAGATCAGAAATATGGTAAAACAGCCAGATCAGAAATGTGGTAAAACAGCCAGATCAGAAATGTGGTAAAACAGCCTGATCAGAAATGTGGTAAAACAGCCAGATCAAAAATGTGGTAAAACAGCCAGATCAGAAATATGGTAAAACAGCCAGATCAGAAATGTGGTAAAACAGCCAGATCAGAAATGTGGTAAAACAGCCTGATCAGAAAATGTGGTAAAACAGCCAGATCAGAAATATGGTAAAACAGCCAGATCAGAAATATGGTAAACCAGCCAGATAACAAATATGGTAAAACAGCCAGATCAGAAATATGGTAAAACAGCCAGATCAGAAATGTGGTAAAAACAGCCAGATCAGAAATGTGGTTAAAACAGCCTGATCAGAAATGTGGTAAAACAGCCAGATCAAAAATGTGGTAAAACAGCCAGATCAGAAATATGGTAAAACAGCCATATCAGAAATATGGTAAAATAGCCAGATAACAAATATAGTAAAACAACCAGATCAAAAATGTGGTAAACAGCCAGATCAAAAATGTGGTAAAACAGCCAGATCAGAAATATGGTAAAACAGCCAGATCAGAAATATGGTAAAACAGCCAGATCAGAAATATGGTAAAACAGCCAGATCAGAAATATGGTAAAACAGCCAGATCAGAAATGTGGTATAACAGCCAGATCAGAAATATGGTAAAACAGCCAGATCAGAAATGTGGTAAAACAGCCAGATCAGAAATATGGTAAAACAGCCAGATCAGAAATATGGTAAAACAGCTAGTATCAGAAATGTGGTAAAACAGCCAGATCAGAAATAATGGTAAAACAGCCAGATCAGAAATATGGTA